CCGTTTCCCGTTTCCTCCCGTTTCCCGTTTCCCGTTTCCCGTTCCCGTTTCCCGTTTCCCGTTTCCCGTTTCCCGGTTTCCCGTTTCCCGTTTCCCGTTTCCCGTTTCCCGTTTCCGTTTCCCGTTTTCCCGTTTCCCGTTTCCCGTTTCCGTTTCCCGTTTCCCGTTTCCCGTTTCCCGTTCCCGTTTCCCGTTTCCCGTTTCCCGTTTCCCGTTTCCCGTTCCCGTTTCCCGTTTCCCGTTTCCCGTTTCCCGTTTCCCGGTTCCCGTTCCCGTTTCCCGTTTCCCGTTTCCCGTTTCCCGTTTCCCGTTTCCCGTTCTCCGGTTTCCCGTTTCCCGTTTCCCGTTTCCCGTTTCCCGTTTCCCGTTTCCCGTTTCCCGTTTCCCGTTTCCCTTTCCCGTTTCCCGTTTCCCGTTTCCGTTTCCCGTTCCCGTTTCCCGTTCCCGTTTCCCGTTTCCCGTTTCCCGTTTCCCGTTTCCCGTTTCCCGTTTCCCGTTTCCCGTTTCCCGTTTCCCGTTTCCCGTTTCCCGTTTCCCGTTTACCCGTTTCCGTTCCCGTTTCCCGTTTCCCGTTTCCGTTTCCCGTTTCCCGTTTCCCGTTTCCCGTTTCCCGTTTCCCGTTTCCCGTTTCCCGTTTCCCGTTTCCCGTTTCCCGTTTCCGTTCCCGTTTCCCGTTTCCCGTTTCCCGTTTCCCGTTTCCCGTTTCCCGTTTCCCGTTTCCCGTTTTCCCGTTTCCCGTTTCCCGTTTCCTTTCCCGTTTCCCGTTTCCCGTTTCCCGTTTCCCGTTTCCCGTTTCCCGTTTCCCGTTTCCCGTTTCCCGTTTCCCGTTTCCCGTTTCCCGTTTCCCGTTTCCCGTTTCCCGTTTCCCGTTTCCCGTTTCCCGTTTCCCGTTTCCCGTTTCCCGTTTCCCGTTTCCCGTTTCCCGTTTCCCGTTTCCCGTTTCCCGTTTCCCGTTTCCCGTTTCCCGTTTCCCGTTTCCCGTTTCCCGTTTCCCGTTTCCCGTTTCCCGTTTCCCGTTTCCCGTTTCCCGTTTCCCGTTTCCCGTTTCCCGTTTCCCGTTTCCCGTTTCCCGTTTCCCGTTTCCCGTTTCCCGTTTCCCGTTTCCCGTTTCCCGTTTCCCGTTTCCCGTTTCCCGTTTCCCGTTTCCCGTTTCCCGTTTCCCGTTTCCCGTTTCCCGTTTCCCGTTTCCCGTTTCCCGTTTCCCGTTTCCCGTTTCCCGTTTCCCGTTTCCCGTTTCCCGTTTCCCGTTTCCCGTTTCCCGTTTCCCGTTTCCCGTTTCCCGTTTCCCGTTTCCCGTTTCCCGTTTCCCGTTTCCCGTTTCCCGTTTCCCGTTTCCCGTTTCCCGTTTCCCGTTTCCCGTTTCCCGTTTCCCGTTTCCCGTTTCCCGTTTCCCGTTTCCCGTTTCCCGTTTCCCGTTTCCCGTTTCCCGTTTCCCGTTTCCCGTTTCCCGTTTCCCGTTTCCCGTTTCCCGTTTCCCGTTTCCCGTTTCCGTTTCCCCGTTTCTCCCGTTTCCCGTTTTCCCGTTTCCCGTTATCCCGTTTCCCGTTTCCAGTTTCCCGTTTCCCGTTTCCCGTTTCCCGTTTCCCGTTTCCCGTTTCCCGTTTCCCGTTTCCCGTTTCCCGTTTCCCGTTTCCCGTTTCCCGTTTCCCGTTTCCCGTTTCCCGTTTCCCGTTTCCCGTTTCCCGTTTTTCCCGTTCTTTCCCGTTTCCCGTTTCCCGTTTCCCGTTTCCCGTTTCCCGTTTCCCATTTCCCGGTTTCCCGTCTTTCCCGTTTCCCGTTTCCCGTTTCCCGTTTCCCGTTTCCGTTTCCCGTCCGTTTCCCGTTCTCCCGTTTCCCGTTTCCCGTTTCCCGTTTCCCGTTTCCGTTTTCCCGTTTCCGTTTCCCGGTTTCCCGTTTTCCCGTTTCCCGTTTCCCGTTTCCCGTTTCCCGTTCTTCCCGTTTCCCGTTTTCCCGTTTCTTCCCGTTTCCCGTTTCCCGTTTCCCGTTTCCTCCGTTTCCCGTTTCTTTCCCGTTTCCCGTTCCCGTTTCCCGTTTCCCGTTTCCCGTTTCCGTTTCCCGTTTCCCGTTTCCCGTTTCCTCCAGTTGTTTCCCGTTTCCCGTTTCCCGTTTCCCGTTTTCCCGTTTCCCGTTTCCCGTTTCCCGTTTCCCGTTTCCCGTTTCCCGTTTCCCGTTTCCCGTTTCCCGTTTCCTCGTTCCCGTTTCCCGTTTCCCGTTCCTCGTTTACCGTTTCCCAGTTTCCCGTTTTCTCCGTTTCCCGTTTCCCGTTTCCCGTTTCCCGTTTCCCGTTTCCCGTTTCCCGTTTCCCGTTTCCCGTTTCCCGTTTCCCGTTTCCCGTTTCCCGTTTCCCGTTTCCCGTTCCCGTTTCCCGTTTCCCGTTTCCCGTTTCCCGTTTCCCGTTTCCCGTTTCCCGTTTCCCGTTTCCCGTTTCCCGTTTCCCGTTCCCGTTTCCCGTTTCCCGTTTCCCGTTTCCCGTTTCCCGTTTCCCGTTCCCGTTTCCCGTTTCCCGTTTCCCGTTTCCCGTTTCCGTCCGTTTCCCGTTTCCCGTTTCCCGTTTCCCGTTTCCCGTTTCCCGTTTCCCCGTTTCCCGTTTCCCGTTTCCCGTTTCCCGTTTCCCGTTTCCCGTTTCCCGTTTCCCGTTTCCCGTTTCCCGTTTCCCGTTTCCCGTTTCCCGTTTCCCGTTTTCCCGTTTCCCGTTCCCGTTTCCCGTTTCCCGTTTCCCGTTTCCCGTTTCCCGTTTCCCGTTTCCCGTTTCCCGTTTCCCGTTTCCGTTTCCCGTTTCCCGTTTCCCGTTTCCCGTTTCCCGTTTCCCGTTTCCCGTTTCCCGTTTCCCGTTTCCCGTTTCCCGTTTCCCGTTTCCCGTTTCCCGTTTCCCGTTTCCCGTTTCCCGTTTCCCGTTTCCCGTTTCCCGTTTCCCGTTTCCCGTTTCCCGTTTCCCGTTTCCCGTTTCCCGTTTCCCGTTTCCCGTTTCCCGTTTCCCGTTTCCCGTTTCCCGTTTCCCGTTTCCCGTTTCCCGTTTCCCGTTTCCCGTTTCCCGTTTCCCGTTTCCCGTTTCCCGTTTCCCGTTTCCCGTTTCCCGTTTCCCGTTTCCCGTTTCCCGTTTCCCTTCCCGTTTCCCGTTTCCCGTTCCCGTTTCCCGTTTCCCGTTTCCCGTTTCCGTTTCCCGTTCCCGTTTCCCGTTTCCCGTTTCCTTTCCCGTTTCCCGTTTCCCGTTTCCCGTTTCCCGTTTCCCGTTTCCCGTTTCCCGTTTCCCGTTTCCCGTTTCCCGTTTCCCGTTTCCCGTTTCCCGTTTCCCGTTTCCCGTTTCCCGTTTCCCGTTTCCCGTTTCCCGTTTCCCGTTTCCCGTTTCCCGTTTCCCGTTCCCGTTTCCCGTTTCCCGTTTCCCGTTTCCCGTTTCCCGTTTCCCGTTTCCCGTTTCCCGTTTCCCGTTTCCCGTTTCCCGTTTCCCGTTTCCCGTTTCCCGTTTCCCGTTTCCCGTTTCCCGTTTCCCGTTCCCGTTTCCCGTTTCCCGTTTCCCGTTTCCCGTTTCCCGTTTCCCGTTTCCCGTTTCCCGTTTCCCGTTTCCCGTTTCCCCGTTTCCCGTTTCCCGTTTCCCGTTTCCCGTTTCCCGTTTCCCGTTTCCCGTTTCCCGTTTCCCGTCCCGTTTCCCGTTTCCCGTTTCCCGTTTCCCGTTTCCCGTTTCCCGTTTCCCGTTTCCCGTTTCCCGTTTCCCGTTTCCCGTTTCCCGTTTCCCGTTTCCCGTTTCCCGTTTCCCGTTTCCCGTTTCCCGTTTCCCGTTTCCCGTTTCCCGTTTCCCGTTTCCCGTTTCCCGTTTCCCGTTTCCCGTTTCCCGTTCCCGTTTCCCGTTTCCCGTTTCCCGTTTCCCGTTTCCCGTTTCCCGTTTCCCGTTTCCCGTTTCCCGTTTCCCGTTTCCCGTTTCCCGTTTCCCGTTTCCCGTTTCCCGTTTCCCGTTTCCCGTTTCCCGTTTCCCGTTTCCCGTTTCCCGTTTCCCGTTTCCCGTTTCCCGTTTCCCGTTTCCCGTTTCCCGTTTCCCGTTTCCCGTTTCCCGTTTCCCGTTTCCCGTTTCCCGTTTCCCGTTTCCCGTTTCGTTCCGTCGTTTCCCGTTTCCCGTTTCCCGTTTCCCGTTTCCCGTTTCCCGTTTCCCGTTTCCCGTTTCCCGTTTCCCGTTTCCCGTTTCCCGTTTCCTCCGTTTCCCGTTTCCCGTTTCCCGTTTCCCGTTTCCCGTTTCCCGTTTCCCGTTTCCCGTCGTTTCCCGTTTCCCGTTTCCCGTTTCCCGTTTCCCGTTTCCCGTCCGTTTCCCGTTTCCCGTTTCCCGTTTCCCGTTTCCCGTTCCCGTTTCCCGTTTCCGTCCCGTTTCCCGTTTCCCGTTTCCCGTTTCCCGTTTCCCGTTTCCCGTTTCCCGTTTCCCGTTTCCCGTTTCCCGTTTCCCGTTTCCCGTTTCCCGTTCCGTTTCCCGTTTCCCGTCCGTTTCGTCCCGTTTCCCGTTTCCGTTCCCGTTTCCCGTTTCCCGTTTCCCGTTTCCCGTTTCCCGTTTCCCGTTTCCCGTTTCCCGTTTCCCGTTTCCCGTTTCCCGTTTCCCGTTTCCCGGTTTCCCGTTTCCCGTTTCCCGTTTCCCGTTTCTTCCCGTTTCCCGTTTCCCGTTTCCCGTTTCCCGTTTCCCGTTTCCCGTTTCCCGTTTCCCGTTTCCCGTTTCCCGTTTCCCGTTTCCCGTTTCCCGTTTCCCGTTTCCCGTTTCCCGTTTCCCGTTTCCCGTTTCCCGTTTCCCGTTTCCCGTTTCCCGTTTCCCGTTTCCCGTTTCCCGTTTCCCGTTTCCCGTTTCCCGTTTCCCGTTTCCCGTTTCCCGTTTCCCGTTTCCCGTTTCCCGTTTCCCGTTTCCCGTTTCCCGTTTCCCGTTTCCCGTTTCCCGTTTCCCGTTTCCCATGCCCCATTTCCCATTTCCCATGCTCTGTCCGTATCCCATGCCCCATAACCCGTGCCCTGTGTGATACACTGCAGGGAAACACATGCGGGGGTGGGTGGGAGGCGGGCTGCAGGCGGGCATGGAGGGGGAGGACGTGGTGGTGTATGAGGAGCAACCGGGGGAGGTAGTGTCAGTACATGTTGCCCATGCCCTGTGCCCCATGCCCTGTGCCCCATGCCGTGTGCCCCATGCCCTGTGCCCCATGCTCGCATAACACGATGCAGGGAAACACAGGTGGCGGGGGGAGGCAGGGTGCACATGGGCATGGAGGGGGAGGACGTGGTGGTGTATGAAGAGCAACCGGGGGAGGTGGTAACTGCCTTTACGCATGCCCCGTTCCTCCACAACATCACGCACTGCTCCCCCCCCATCCACGGCCAGGTATGTTACTCCCCCTCCTGTCCTCCCACCTCTAACGAGGTAAGCTCCCCTTTCCCGTCCATGCCCCTTTCCTCTACAACATCACGCATGGCTCTCCCCCCATTCACGGCCAGGTATGTTAAGCCCTCACAAGCCAACGCATCCTCCCCCCCTTCCCCCCTTTCACTGACCGCGTCTACCAGTGGATGGATGGCACGTGAGTGTCGTGTCGTGTCGCCTCACAGATCACCTCTTCCTTGCATGATCACATCTCTTCAGGTTTTTGAGAATTCTCAAAAACCAGATCACATCTCTTCAGGTCATCTTGGAGCGCATCAACCTGTGGATGGCACGTGAGTGTCGTGTCGCCTCACAAATCACCTCTTCCTTGAATGATCACATCTCTCCAGGTCATCTTGGAGCGCATCAACCTGTGGATGAATGGACGACTTCTAAGTTGACTGAAAAGTCACCTTCTTGCATGGTCCCATGGATTCTATTCAGCGCATCAACCAGCGGATGGATCTGCACATCCGCATGGGAGTGGACCATTTCGAGTTGTGGGACGTCTCAAAAATCACCTACTTGCATGATCCCGTGCGCTCTATTCAGGTCATCTCGGAGCGCATCTACCAGTGGATGGATCTGCACATCTGCATGGGGGTGGACCTTTTCGAGTTGTGGGACGTCTCAAAAATCACCTACTTGCATGATCCCGTGCGCTCTATTCAGGTCATCTCGGAGCGCATCTACCAGTGGATGGATCTGCACATCCGCATGGGAGTGGACCATTTCTCCCTGTACGATGTGGGCGGGGTGGACCCACAGTTGCGAGCGCTGATTGCGGTGAGCAGCAACGCGACACATTGCTGCTCCCAGTTCTCGCCTCCTCTCATTTCCACAGACGCATGGCCTTGGACTGCTATGGTTGGTACGTACATACAGCGTTTCTGGTTTTGGGACGTCACAAAAAAGCCTCATGGCCTTGGACCGCTATGGTACGTACGTTCGGCGTGGGCGCGGTCACCACAGTGCACCTGCAAGCAACTGAGATGGAAATATCGTGTAGATAGGTTATTTTTGAGACGTCTCAAAAATAACCTATCTACACGTGAATGGCGTGGGCGCGGTCACCACGGTGCACCTGCAAGCAACTGAGGTGGAATGGAAATTCTGATTAGGGCGCAACTGCAAACATTGATGAATCATTAAAGTACGCGGTTACACCCTGTCTGTGAAGAAGTGGTTCGTGTAATCTTGAGGTAGATTTGTGTGCAACGGTATATTTGAGAGACTCATCTGATCTTAGCATCACATGACGATACCATGCTGATAGCTTTGTGTGTTGTAGCATGGATCCGATCAGCTCCTCTTCCCAGTCCGGTATGTCATGTTCCCCCTACTTCAGCTTTCTATTTGTATCCCTGCTTTGGAAAATCTTGAAAGTTACCCCCTCATCTTGCTCTCCTCCGATTCTCCTCCCTACTCACCTGCAGCCATTACTGGATGGAGGGATAGCAGAGGTCACGGATTTTCGCGACCTGGTTAACTACGAGTCCTGGTATCATGGGCAGGTGAGGGACCTGTAAGAATGAGTTTTGAGACGTCTCAAAAGACGGATTTTTGCAACTTGGTTAACTACGAGTCCTGGTATCATGGGCAGGTGAGGGACCTGTAAGAATTCCCAACAGAAATCAACCATTTTGGTGAATTCCTTTTATCACGTGCATGTGAGGGGGTTTTGTTAATTTTTACTCAGTTTGTTGTGACTTATTGAACCATGAGTGCTGGTATCAAGACTGCGTGTCAACCAACTGCATACATATTGCTCCACCCTCGTGCCTCCTCTTCGCCCCAGCAGGTGAAGGTAGTGAACGATTATGTAAGCTACATCCCTTCCGCACTTGTGTCTTCTCTCCCTCCCACCAGGTGATGATAGTGAACGAGTGTGTGTATCGCTTTCGCCGCCTCTCCAAGTGGATAATGTACCTTGACTTTGACGAGTTCATGTTTATTGATGGTCAGGTAAGCACGCCTTTATCCGAGTGGTCTATTCCTACATGCTGGCGCCCATGTCGTTGCCGCTGTGCTATGTCCTAGGCCATCCTTACGAGGGGGGTGTTAGAAGACTTTCACTAGGGATGTCAGATTGATCATAGGGAAAGGTTACAGGCTCGCTAAACTGAGGGGTAATGGACACAGTCACTCGCTGCTTAACAAGCCCTTTTATCCTAGTGATCCACTGGCTGGGATTCTAAGACTAACATCCTAGCAAAGATTCACAGGCATGAATGATCTTTGGTGTTATGGCCGTGCGCTATGGAACAAGTGCTTTTAGCTCAGCGGTTCATAGCTGAGCTTTACCAACAATAAGTGCATACGGCCACACTCACTCCTTTTTTACTTTTAGTGCCATCTGCACCTTGGCTTCGGCAAGCTCATCTTTGTCAGTGGCCGCGAACATACGTATGCCCGTGCCCCACTCCGCTTTTGAGGCTTAAAAATTGGGGAGTTCACCTTCACCAATGGCCATGTAAGTACGTGTGCCCATGCCCCACTCCGCTCCTCCTCTAGAGACGGTTTTATGTCCCAAGGGTCTTTGTTTATAGTGGAAGAGCAGCAAATCTGAAGTTTGGAAAAATCTTGAAGCAACTAGTGGAATGAAGATGTATACATTTTTATTTCTTGAGGAAAAAAAACAACCAGTGAATCTCGAAAGCAGAACTTTACCCGCCTCTCTCCCCTCCCCTCTCACTTTCTCACACACCCTCCTCCACAATGCCCACGCCTCTCAGTGTGCACCACTTCCCAATGCCCTACGAGGGAATTCCCATCTCAGGCCCTACAAGGGAACGCCTAATAAAAAGAAAGCATGCCCTATAATGTTCTCCATGAATCCTCTCCCTCCATCCCTCCAGGAGCGCATGCCCACGCCGCTCAGCGTGAATCACTTCCTCATGCCCTACGAGGGAATGCCCTACGTCACCCACGGCAGCCTCTGGTGGGACTTGGATCGCTGCCTGCCCTCCCAAGGCCCTGACGGTATGTTCTCTAGCCTGGTTGCATTTTCTGATGCGGGCAGAACATCGGTCGGGCGGGCCTGTGCCTGACTGGCTTGCCTTACATGAGTCACGGCAGCCTCTGGTGGGGCTTGGATCGCTGCCTGCCTTCCCAAGGCCCTGGTGGTATGTTTCTGTGCCGTCTTGCAGCCTGCCCTCTAAACCCATTTGCTCTCTTGCTTGGCTGGGCTCTCTGCTGTGGGAACTGCGTGCATGGATTGGCTTGGGCCTATCCCTGCCTGACTGCCCTGCACACTCACGGCAGCCTCTGGTGAGACTTGGATCGCTGGCTGCCCTCTCCAAGCCTATATGGTACGTTCTCTTGCCCATAGAATGTTCTAATACGTATGCTCCGGCAAGGCCCGCTGTGCCCGCTAACACTTCATCTGCTCCCTTTCTCTTTTCCATTCCATTAACAGAGCCCAGGTGGCCGCTGGAGCGCATGCTGTGGCACGGGCCAGGGGTATTTTGTAAAGCCAGGGACAACCACACCAAGCCCACCATGTGCCTGGACCACTACGGCCACCGCAAGCTTTTTGTGGACCCCAGACGGGTGAGCGTGCTATTGCCTTGAAGCCCCAGAGTGGTGTTCGATTCTGAGGGGGCTCAACAAGAATATTATTCTGTAAAGCCAGGGACAACCATACGAAGCCCACCATGTGCCTGGACCACCACAGCCACCGCAAGCTTTTTGTTGACCCCAGATGGGTGAGAATGCTCTCTTCCTGCTTCACAGGTGCGAATGTTGGATGAACCCACACGTTCGACTTTTGAGGCGCCACACATGAACCTTCTATCCACTCAGACTCCTCGACCTTCTAACCCTCTCTCTCCCTCCCCTTCCTGCCTCACAGGTGCGAGCAGTGATGAACCATGTGGTTCAGGAACCCACTATTGGCGGTGGGGGAGCAGACCTGTCTACGGACGTTCTGAGACACCACCACTTCCACGTGAGTGCTTTTTGACGTCTTGTGTTCTGAGTCGACTCAAAACACACGTGGTGCAGGGACCCACTAGTGGGGCGCAGACCTGCCTATGGACGCTCTTAGACACCACCACTTCCACGTGAGTAATTTTTGTGTCTTGTGTTGTGAGGTTACTAAGAGAACACGCGGTTCAGGAGCCCTTTACAGGCGGCGCAGACCTGTTTATGGACGCTCTGAGACACCACCACTTCCACGTGAGTGATTTTTGGTGTCCTTGTGTTCAAGTGGTACTTACTTGAACAGTGGCTCCTTGCCCCACTGACATTCTCAGGCACCACCACGTCCGTATGAGTGCTCTGTCGCATCTTTGTGTTCATGTTGCAACTTCCTGAACCTTCCTGGACAGTCCCTCAATTACCGTCATTGCCATAGATAGTGTTTCCTTGCTTTTTGTTCATCTTGCAACCTCTTGATCAGGCACTGTCTGCCTACTGACCGCCTCAAACAGGCACGCAACTGCCATGTATGGACAAGTTTCCATGGGTACCTCTGATTGCCGCGTAACTGACCTCTGTTGACTTGTTTTTCAGGGCATTATCAGGCAGGGCGTCAAGGAGTGCACGCTGATACCAAAGAAGCACGACAAGGATCCCACTTATCACTGAACTCTGCTGATGCGTTGACCTCTGTTGACTCTCGTTGACCTCTGTTGACTCTCGTTGACCTCTGTTGACTTATCTCCAGGGCATAATCAGGCAAGGCATCAAGGAATGCACGCTGATAATGAAGGAGCATGACAACATAACCTGGTGGTCCCGGGGAAGGGAGGAAGCTGACAGAATGCAATACGTGCGCACACACCCCCTCGACATGCAATACCTTGTTGCGGCACACAGGGTGAGTGGGTGGCTGGTGGTTGGACAGAGACAGCCTCACATACTGCATGTACGTCCCATGGGAGAGATGAGAGGAGGCGGACAGGATGCAATACGTGCGCACACACCCCCTCGATATGCAATACCTCATTGCGGCACACAGGGTGAGTTGCTGAGGGTGCACGATCTTGTATAGACCCAACAAAGTGGTGATCACATGTGAGGAGCGGTAGAGAGTGGTGGAGAGCTGCTACAGACGTTGCAGATGCATGAAACATGGACGGTGGAGTCATGCGGGCTGATGGGATGTTTCAAACCACGCAGCCTTCTGTTATGAATCCCCTATTCACATGCTACCCAACATCATGCTCAATCTGCATCACATACTGCTCATTGTGCGCAGTCACAGTGGTATAAGTCACGCTCATAGTGCATTCACATCATGCACATAAAGCACAACCATAGTGCACATGGTGTATGTTTGGCTGAGGCTTATGCGTCCATCTTGCATTTCGTCGTTGTGCTGTTTGCAACGCAGTGGTGGAGAGAGCACGTGCAGAGGACACACCAAGGCTTGTAGTGCCATGGCATATCAATGAGATGACTTTTGAGTTGAAGACATCCAGGATATAGGGACCTGTGTTTTTACAGTGCGTAATTTGTAGGCACCCCCTGTTTTCGCAGAAAACCATGTAGTACCCTCCCCTCCCTTTTTCTTTTAACACATACCGTAAGTGTTGAGTTAATATTATATGGTAATGGGCCTTGCGATGCAGCGGCACTTGGTCAACATGGTGCGAGGGGATATGTGCACAATTTGACATCGAAATCCAGACGAAAAAAAAAAGCAATTTTACAGGAAAACCAAGATTTTGTAAAACCTCAGTAATAGTGGTCTAGGTTCGAGGCTGTTATGCGTTTTTTAAGCTCGTCGGTTCCGCGCATAACGGTGACAATGCCGCTTCACCCACTGACCGGCTGCCCGGAGTTCCCCTAAGGGCCGTAACTTTTTTTTGCATTTTGCTCGGACCGTCCCAGCTCGTTCTTCAATTGGAGAACTTACGATTATCGACGAGGACCGCTTTCGTACACGGATCGGTTTAGTCACACGCCCTAAACTGGAGAGACGCGCCTTGCCTTTTAGAGTCATTTATACCTCTTACCGCATCTAAACCCTGGAGATCGAACTGAAACAATGCATATGAGCTTGAAACCGACTCCCTGTTCCCGTCACGCATTTCCCACCTGCAACGAGATGACCTAATTTTACGAAAGCGACACTGTGTTCTAATATTAACAGAGCGACCTTAAAACGGGATACTATCTGAGACCACTTCTACTGAGGTGCTTCTCAACTGTCTAACCGCAATATCATGGCGGTGAATGCAAGGTTTCACTAATGGCAGGACTTGAGATGGAGAGGGATAGCGAGAGAGATAATGGCAGAGGGAAGCTCAGTTTGGGTTATGGCAGAGGGTACAGAAGAGTTTCCCCTGCTCACAGAGGGACCAGAGTGAACAGCATTACTCCTGGCATAACCAGTGCGTCTCCTGGCAGAAGTTCAGAATCATCTTCAGCTTTTGAGTCGACTCAAAAGCAAACAGAATTATCATCTTCAGCGTCTAAAAGAGAGGGATTGCAATCCACACATCCGCATGCTCTTGAAGAGCTTCGGCCCAGCCGCGGTCAGGACCATCAAAATAGTAACGACTTTCAGCCTTATACGCACCTGGACCCTACTAATAACGCTGCTGATGGTAACCCTGCCGATGGATGGCGTGGGCTGCTGACGTCAGCATCAGCACTCATCATCAAGAGGTGTCACTCACTCATCCAACGCCACGAGGTGCTCCCTCTCTCCCTCTCTCCCTCTCACACTCATCTCCTCAACCATTTTACGCCACGTTGTGCCCCTCTCTCCCTCGAACTCTCACCTCCTCAACCATTTTATGCTATGAGGTGTTCCCTTATCGTTCCCACGTGCCTTTCATTGCTGTTTTCAAAGTCAGTAATATTGTTCAGTGCGATGCTATTTGCAGATTTCAAGAAAATATAGGAAAGGATTGATGGGACAGGAAATAACCCATTCGGCCCATTCCTAATCAGCAGGCTAGAAGCCAGAGCAGTGGACAACTTATGTGTTTTCACACTGATATTTCACACTATTGTTTACGACTGATTTTCCACTATTGATCATGTTGCTCAAACGTCACCTTCACGTACTGCTGCCCTTCGATTAGTCAAGAAGAACAGTGGACTACTTTAATGCTTCCATGGCCTGTACTGTACTGCTTAGTGGGAATATACGCTTATAGCGTATATACGCGTATCGTATATACGCTAACGTATATACGCTAAACGCTTAAGGGTCGATTTGGTAATACGCTTTTTCGGGCAGGTAAAAAACTATCTCGGGCAGGGTGAAAAAGACGTCGTGCTCAAGATTAAGAAGGTGATCCCTATTCTCATTAAGACTTTCGTAGCATTTCCCTAAGTCTGAACGGCGATTGGGGTGGGACGTGGAGTAGACACTAAAAGGAGAAGTAGGTAGGAATCGGAAGGAGCTCTGCTGTTAGAAAGTGGGAATGCCAACTAGAAATGACGACTGGAATTTTGCTGGTTGGTAAGTAGGGTGAGTGGGGTTTGGTGGGGCACGTTTTTGACAGGTTGGAATTCGTAGATAATATGGGTTCCAATGCGGTACCAATCTAATGTTCAAATTTGAACTGCCTGCAACTTCGAAGGCCCACTCCCGCTTCCCTAGACCGTCAAATTGCATTTCGACTTAGGCGAAATGCTCAGCAGAAGATTCCGCATCTTTCTGTACACAAGCGATTTTTTTCCCTGGGCAACCCGAAATTTTTTCTGATAGCGTATAGCGTATTAGCTAGCGTATTGCGTTTTGCGTACACACGCTAGCGTGTATACGCTATACGCTTTAGGGTTTGAGCGTATATTCCCACTAAGCTGTACTGTACCTTGCCGCAGCTATTTAAAGGCCCAACACCGTCCATCATCCTTGTTGTTTTCGTCCTGCTGCTGGTATGTATGAGTGCTTTAAGGTGCCACGTTCTGCTAGCGAAATGGTATGATCTTACTTGCATGCACATATTTTTCACCCCTGTCTAGCAAGGGGTTTCGACAGGTTTCTCGTCAGCTGCTACAGAGAAACAAACCAAGTTATGCTGTCTCTCCCAATCGTTGCCTGCTTTTGTTGCCTCAATGGTGATCCGCTCACTCCAAGGTTGGATCTTCAACCCTTCCTAACATAACATCACTACTCCCACCTTTTACTCCACCACGGCCTAATCCCTCCCTTCTGGCTCTCCCTCCTCCCTACATGTGTCCTAACTCCAAATTCAGCAACTTCACAGCCTCACCTGCCCATTCCGATAGTTTTGTCTGCCACCGTGCTTCCCCCTATACACGTTGTTTGTTGTGTGCCTGCGTGAGTGACCAGGTGCTCATTCTCTCCTTTGACACCTCAATCTTCCCGACCAATGAGGAGCAGGCGATTATTCAAGCCACTGCCTCTGCCTCCTCCGTTCCTCCGCAGTTCTCAGTAAGCCAGCACAATGTCTATCGAAGGGTCTTCTTTACGGCAGGTGAACCAGGCTTCACCTGGCTCGCTCCCCCGACCATGTATACACCACCCCAACCCCCCGGCCACTTTAGAGTGGAGTAACCTGGCCGGAACTGCCCCCCCCCCCCCCCCCCACCTCCCCCCCCCCTTGACCCGACCTTAGAAGGTTTTTTTGTGCAGCAGTTCCGGTCCCAAGGTTCTTCTTCCTTTAGCCACACAGCACGCACACCGCCCTCCCTCACCCTGCTGCTCCTTTGAGTCGACTCAATAGCCTCGTACACAGCATACCGCCCTCGCTCACCCTGCTGCTCCCGTCACTAACTCACTGCCTGCAACCCATGCCTCTTCTTTCTGTTTCTGCTGCATCCTGCCCTGCCCGTGCTTCTGACGTCCACCCTACCATCTGTCCCAGTCTAACAACCTATTGTGCTTCGTTCGTTCCTCCACACTGCTTGTGCGTTAGTCCCACTCAACATTTGTGAATGGCTTTGCATTGCGTGCGAAGCCTTTTGATTAGCCTCACATCAAACATAGCTCCCGTTGTGTTCCTTGCGCGTCATTCCCTCCCACCTGGTCCTGGCCACCCGTTGCCACTGCGCCACCTTCAGTCCACTGCTCTCTCTAGTTCACTACCATCACCGCCAGTAGCAGTAAACACTGCAGCCGCTGCCAGCAACATCAGTGGCGGCACGAGCAGTGGCAGCAACATCAGTGGCGGCACAAGCAGTGGCAGCAGCAACATCAGTGGTGGCACGAGCAATGGCAGCAACATCAGTGGCGGCACGAGCAGTGGCAGCAACATCAGTGGCGGCACGAGCAGTGGCAGCAGCAACATCAGTGGTGGCACGAGCAATGGCAGCAACATCAGTGGTGGCACGAGCAGTGGCAGCAACATCAGCGGTGGCACGAGCAGTGGCAGCAACATCAGTGGTGGCACGAGCAGTGGCAGCAGCAACATCAGTGGCGGCACGAGCAGTGGCAGCAACATCAGTGGTGGCACGAGCAGTGGCAGCAACATCAGTGGTGGCACGAGCAGTGGCAGCAACATCAGTGGTGGCACGAGCAGTGGCAGCAACATCAGTGGTGGCACGAGCAGTGGCAGCAGTGGTAGCAGCAGTGGCAGCAGCAGCACGAGGCAAGAGAGGCTGCTGCCGTTTGTGCAGTTCTCGGCTTATCGAATCGCAGGCGACCAGTTTGCGGTCGTGGGCCTGGCTGCACGTGCTCTGGAAGATGTGAGAGAGGTGAGGGTGAAAAAAGGGCGAGGGAGGAGTTTAAAGCCACCGTTTGAGACCCCAAACTAGTTTTGAGGCGCCTCAAAGGTCATGTTTCAAGCTGCGTGTGCTTTTGACGAAGTGAGAGGGAGGAGAGAGGAGGGGAGGGGTTAGCATGGTGTTGGATATGATGCAACGTAGCGTGCGTGCGTGTGTGTGTGTGTGTGTGTGCGCGCGCGCGCGCGCGGTCCATGCATTGTGTGCTGTCTCCCGTGGTGTGGCAATGCATGCATGCTGGTGATTTTCTCACATGATGCACACATGCTGACCTACATACATGCTGATGTGTCATTACTGCCATGCCCCTGCCTACTAGTGCTGCTGTGTTGCGTTCTTATAAGGCGCCTCAAATTTCCTTACATACACGTGCTGCTGTGTTGTTTTCTGTGAAGGTGAGTCTTGAGACGTCTCAAAAGACGTCTCATAAGGCGCCTCAAAAGTCCTTACATACAAGTGCTGCTGTATTGTTTTCTGTGAAGGTGGGCGATTGTATGTGGGAACCACGGATACCAGCGGGTCAAGCAGGTGAAGCAAGTCAAGCAGGTCAAGCAGGTCAAGCAAGTCAAGGAAATCAAGCAAGTCAAGGAAATCAAGCAAGTCAAGCAGGTCAAGGAAATCAAGCGAATCGATCAGAAGGGCGAGGCCAAGCAGATGGACTTGGCCGGTCATTGGGGCAAGGCGAAGCAGCGGGTCCGGGGCTAGCAGATGAGCGAGGAGGTCTTTTTGAGTCGACTAAAAAACAAGGTGAAGCAGCGGGTCCGGGGCAAGCAGTTGAGCGAAGAGGTGCTGCATTAGAGGGGAGGTGGAAAAGACTGATGGAGGAGCGCGTGGGAGGAGAATGGATGGAGAGGCATATAGGAGGAACGAAGAAGCGTGGGATGGGTTCAGTACTGACGATGGGGGAAAGGAGGGAGGACGAGAAGGTTGAGGAGAGGAGGGGGGACGAGACGGTTGAGGAGAGGAGGGGGGACGAGACGGTTGAGGAGAGGAGGGAGGAGGGTAGGGGGGCGAGGAAGCTGCAAGAGGTGGATGGGAGGGAGTGGATACGTGGCAGTGTGGAGGTGATACACGTGGGAGAGCACCATTTGATGAAATACGCTGTGCTCATTTTAATCTGCACTCTAAATAGGTGTGTGTGTGTGTGTGTGTGTGTGTGTGTGTGTGAGTGTGTGTGAGTGTGTGTGTGTGTTTGTGTGTGTCTGTGTCTGTGTCTTTGTGTGTGTGTATGTGTGTGTGTGTATGTGTGTGTGTGTGTGCTTGTGTGTGTGTGTGTGTGTGTGTGTGTGTGTGTGTGTTATATGATGAGAGTGTGAGAGTGTTACAGGGGCCTCTCAGGCTCTCATGGTGTATTGGTCTCTCATTCTCCCAGCCTTTCAGACTCTCTGTCTCTCAGCCTCCCAGACTCTTGTGTCCCCATGCCCTGTGTCCCATGCCCCAAGCCCTTGCCCCAAGTGACATGTCCCATGTTCCATATTCCATGTCCCATGTTCCATATTCCATGTCCCATGTTCCATCCCCCATGTCCCATGTTGCATCCCATACCTTGAGGCAGGGCCTGTATGGGGCGGGCCGCGGGGGGAGGTAGGGTGCACATGGGCATGGAGAGGGAGGACAAGGTGGTGTTTACTGTGCCCGGTGTCCCATCCCCCATATATCCCATTTTTTGTGTGGCACACTGCAGGGAAACGCTCGTGGGAGGGGGAGGCAGGGTGCACATGGGCATGGAGGGGGAGGACAAGGTGGTGTATGAGGAGCAACCGGGGGAGGTGGTAACTGCCATGACGCATGCCCCGTTCCTCTACAACATCACGCACTGCTCTCCCCCCATCCACGGCCAGGTATGTCCCTTCCTCCATCACAAGGCAACCCAGCCCCCATCTCCCGCCCCCCCAACAAGGCAACCCAGCCCCCATCTCCCGCCCCCCCAACAAGGCAACCCAGCCCCCATCTCCCGCCCCCCCAACAAGGCAACCCAGCCCCCATCTCCCGCCCCCCCAACAAGGCAACCCAGCCCCCATCTCCCGCCCCCCCAACAAGGCAACCCAGCCCCCATCTCCCGCCCCCCCAACAAGGCAACCCAGCCCCCATCTCCCGCCCCCCCAACAAGGCAAGCTCTCCCTTCCACACCTTGTTCCTCTACGACATCACGCACTGCTCTCCCCTCATTCATAGAATCCGCGTGTAGTGAGTCGGTTTTTGAGTCGACTCAAAAACAAGCTCTCCCTTCCACACCCTGTTCCTCTACAACATCACGCACTGCTCTCCCCCCATTCATAGTCAGGTCGGTTTTTCCCTCACAATGCAACCCATTCATCTTCCCCCTTCCCCTCCCTCTTCCTTCTTTTGAGTCGACTCAAAAGTCACTTAGTTGCTGCCACGTATCGAACTCAATGGCACCTAACTGGTGTCATCTCCCCTCATTCATAGAATCATAGTCAGGTCGGTTCTTCCCTCACAACGCAACCCATTCCTCTTCCCCCTTCCCCTCCCTCTTCCCTCTTCCCACACCCCCTCAACGAGGTACGCTCTGACTTCAGTGCCCCGTTCCTCATACAGCATCATGCGTTGCTGTTATAAGCACTTCTCTCCTCCTCTACACTCCTTCCATCCTACTGTTGCCATAATCTCGTCCCTCTTTTGTCGTTTTCTTGTCGTTCTCTTGCCATTCTCTTGCCGCTGTCTTGTGTAACCCTGCCTATCTTGAATATAGTACGATCATATCATGCGTTTTGGGGCACGGAAATGTTGCACGCATAAAGGCTGTCTCTGAGCGCGTCGACCAGTAGAGGACGGATGGCATTTGCGTCGACTCAAAAGTCACCTCCGTGCGATGAGTCGATTATTGAGTCGACTAGAAAAAAAAGTCACCTCCGTGCATGATCCCATGAATCCACTGCAGGTTATTCAGCGTGTCTACAAGTGGATGGATGGATGACTTTTCAGTTGAATCAAAACTCACATTCCTTCAATGATCCCACGCACTCTGTCCAGGTCATCTCAGAGCGCGTCTTCCGGTGGATGGATGGATGCCGTTTGTGTTAACTCTAAAGTCTCCCCCTTGCATGATCCCATGAACCCTTTGCAGGTCATCTCATATCGCATCTACCAATGGATGGATCTTCACATCCGCATGGGAGTGGACCATTTCTCCCTGAACGATGTGGGCGGGGTGGACCCGCAACTGCGAACGCTGATTGCGGTGAGCCATGTAACACTACTCACTCCCTCACTTCCTTTCCTCTGCTAAAACAAAAAGAAGTGGACCAGTCCTCCTCTTCTCCATGCCTACCCTACCATATGAACGTGATCCTGCCCTGCACACAAGGAGAATGTGTGTGAGAGACTAAGCTGGCCATCACATGATGATACCATCTTGTTACGTCAACTTCTTATGCTGTTAGCACGGAGGGTGATGTCATCCCTTCATTCCAGTCCAGCGTCTCGTGTTTCGCGTAGTTCAGCCTTCTGATTCTTTCCATGTATTATCCTCAACAGCATCTCGCTCCCTTCCGTTCCCCCCCCCCCAAAAAAAAACTTTACTCTAAACATCAACATCAACAGCAAAACTTGAACTTCTCATGCCCACTCTCTCCCGAGTCTCCTCACTTCTCGCCTGCAGCCGTTACTGGACGAAGGGATAGTGGAGATCACGGATTTTCGCGACTTGCTGAACTACGAGGTCTGGTACGACGGCCAGGTGAGGGACCTGTTCCGAATTCTCATAAAAAAATCGCCAATTGTTGTTCGTTGGTGAAAATTCCTGCTACCACGTCCATGTGAGGGGATTCTCAACGGAAATCACCGATTGTTGTGCGTTGGTGAAAATTCCTGGTACGACAACAAGGTGAGGGACCTGTTAAGAGTTCTCATCGATAATCACCAACTGTTTTGCCGTGCACTGATGAAGGCCTGACGACGGGTATGATCTGCGTGCGTACGGACCGAAACATGTTTGCTTAGTCAATAGGGTTGATTATGAGCTTTTACTTTTGGTTTTTTCTCGATTTAAGGGTTACAAGTTTTCTAGAAGGACTATTGTCTTTTTCTCAGGACATCCCCTCCTACTGTCACTCTTCTTCATGTCCAGGACTAATTGTTGTGCCGTGGTGAAAATTCGTGGTACCACGGTCAGGTGAGGGGCCTCTTCGCAGTTGACTCAAAATTCGTCATCTGGTGAACTATTAGTCCTAGTATCACCGGCAATCGAGGGGGCTGTTTAAAAATACTCCGCTGTTAAGAGGCCCGTCCTCTCCCCTTACCTACATTCCCTTCCCTCTCTTCTCTTCTCCACGCCCCCCTCTTCCCACCACCAGGTGATGATGGTAAACGACTGTGTGTATCGCTTCCGCCACCTCTCAAAGTGGATCATGTACCTTGACTTTGACGAGTACATGTTCATCAATGGTCAGGTAAGAATCATGAAGTACCCATTCCTACTTCGTCTTCTTCTCCTTGATGGCCACAATTCATCTTCATCAATGGCCAGGTAAGCACGCAGGGTCGCACTCAACTCACCCCCCTTTCTCCAAGTGGATCATGCACCTTGACTTCGAATATTCCATTATTCAGCGATTTCATTTTCGTTTATGACCAAGTAAGTATGCATATGGACTTTGTCGGCAGTCAAGCCGCCAAGCAAGCACACATGTGCTCACTCTCCTTTTTCTCTTTGACTTAGACGAGCTCATTTTTAGAAATGCTCACTGCTCAGCTGTTCAGAGGCCCCGCCAAGTAAGCACGCACGTGTCGCTGAAACTCTCCCTTTTCTCCTTGATTTAGACCACCTCATTGCTATTGGTGGACGAGTAAGCCTGCAAGGTCTGTTGCACCGACTCGACTCCTTGTTCTCCAAGAAGCCTGCATCTACACCTTGACTTAGACGAGTTCATCTTTGTTGATGGCCGGGTTGGGTATGCACGCAAGCAAGCACACGCTCTTTTCCTCCCTCTCTTTGGCTTTAACGAGGTTCGTTTCATTCATTCGTGGCCATGTATGCACTTCTCCTTATGAGGCGCCTAAAAAATGTATGCACTCGTCCTTCCCCTTCTTCTCAACTTCCATTTCTGCATCTTCATCTACCGCTAGGACTGCATGCACATAATGCCTGCGTTCCTGTTCACCCCCTCTCCTCCTTCTCACGTCACGCACCCTTCTTTTATGTGGCTCTTTAGCAATCCCACGCCTCTCAGCGCGCATACACCGCCTTACTCATGCCCAAAGTTGTTTCCCCCTTCTCGTGTCCCCTTTCTCATGTCCCCCTTCTCATGTCCCCCTCTCTCCCCTCACGCACCCTTCTTTTATGTGGCTCTTTGGCAATCCCACGCCTCTCAGCGCGCGCGCATACACTTCCTTCCTCATGCCCAGAGTTCATTCCCCCATCTCATGTCCCCCTCTCTCCCCTCACCACCTTTCTCCTTCGCGATGTGGCTCTTCCAGGAGCGCATGCCCACGCCTCTCTCTCAGCATTCACCACTTCCTCATGCCTTGCAAGGGCGTTCCCTATGAGGGCATGCCCTTTGCGGCCCTACGAGGGGAATACCTTGTGAGGGCATGCCTGCCCTATCATGAATCATATCCCCCCATTCCTCCTTCAGGAGCGTATGCCCACGCCGCTCAGCGTGCACCACTCCCTCATGCCCTTTGCGGACTTTACAAGGGGATACGTTGTGAGGGCATGCCTGCCCTATCATGAATCCCATCTTCCCATTCCTCCAGAGCGTATGCCCACGCCGCTCAGTGTGCACCACTCCCTCATGCCCTACAAAGGCATGCCTGGTGAGGGCGTCCCTCTGATGTTATTTCCATCATTCCTACCCCCCTATTACTCCTCCAGGAGCGCATGCCCACGCCGCTCAGCGTGAATCACTTCCTCATGCCCTACGAGGGAATGCCCTACGTCACTCACGGCAGCCTCTGGTGGGACTTGGATCGCTGCCTGCCCTCCCAAGGCCCTGACGGTATGTCCTCTTGACTGATGCGTGTGCTTCCCTCTTGAAGATTTATGTGCTTCCCTCCCGTAGGGATGAGCAAAATGGCGAACATGCGTTCGGTTCGCCCGAACATGTTCGGGGGCGAACCGATCTTTCCTCCATTTTTTGGTTTAAATGTTCGCCCGAACATGTTCGGGTTCGGTCCGAACATGTTCGCGCGATCGTGGCGCGCGCGTGTCTGGTGCCCGAACATCGAACATGTTCGTGCATCAAACCTGTTCTCCCGAACATTTTGATGTTCGGGATAATTCCAGCTCGACAAGGTCGCCCTGGTTGGATACGAAAAGGACGGGAAGAGCAGATCGAGCTGTTTCTCAGCTCGATCTACTTTTCCTAGGGTTGATCTAGCCTAAGCGCCACCCAACGTACCTTCCTATACTAAATCGCCCACATCAACTGTTAGTTAGGCACCAATGGGGTGTTAAGGCCGTTATTTAGAGTTGTACCAGCAGGTTTCGGTTTAAGTTAAGCTATGCCTTGTTGTCAGTGCTCCTCTTCACGGCTCTGAAACACCCGTTCCATGGTTTAAGGGTGGGTACAAGGGGTGGGACCTGTAAAGTAATGAGCATCCAATTTCCCACTGGGAGCTCATAACCCCTAAAACAGAAGCAGGTCCCCCCCCCCCCCCCCCCCCCCCCCCCCCTTCCTGCAGTGGGCGAACCGAACATGTTCGGGTTCGCCCACAGTGAGCATCTCTGATGTTCGGCCCCCTTTAGTAGGTTCGCCCACAGTGAGCATCTCTGATGTTCGGCCCCCTTTAGTAGGTTCGCCCACAGTGAGCATCTCTGATGTTCGGCCCCCTTTAGTAGGTTCGCCCACAGTGAGCATCTCTGATGTTCGGCCCCCTTTAGTAGGTTCGCCCACAGTGAGCATCTCTGATGTTCGGCCCCCTTTAGTAGGTTCGCCCACAGTGAGCATCTCTGATGTTCGGCCCCCTTTAGTAGGTTCGCCCACAGTGAGCATCTCTGATGTTCGGCCCCCTTTAGTAGGTTCGCCCACAGTGAGCATCTCTGATATTCGGCCCCCTTTAGTAGGTTCGCCCACAGTGAGCATCTCTGATGTTCGGCCCCCTTTAGTAGGTTCGCCCACAGTGAGCATCTCTGATGTTCGGCCCCCTTTAGTAGGTTCGCCCACAGTGAGCATCTCTGATGTTCGGCCCCTTTAGTAGGTTCGCCCACAGTGAGCATCTCTGATGTTCGGCCCCCTTTAGTAGGTTCGCCCACAGTGAGCATCTCTGATGTTCGGCCCCCTTTAGTAGGTTCGCCCACAGTGAGCATCTCTGATGTTCGGCCCCCTTTAGTAGGTTCGCCCACAGTGAGCATCTCTGATGTTCGGCCCCCTTTAGTAGGTTCGCCCACAGTGAGCATCTCTGATGTTCGGCCCCCTTTAGTAGGTTCGCCCACAGTGAGCATCTCTGATGTTCGGCCCCCTTTAGTAGGTTCGCCCACAGTGAGCATCTCTGATGTTCGGCCCCCTTTAGTAGGTTCGCCCACAGTGAGCATCTCTGATGTTCGGCCCCCTTTAGTAGGTTCGCCCACAGTGAGCATCTCTGATATTCGGCCCCCTTTAGTAGGTTCGCCCACAGTGAGCATCTCTGATGTTCGGCCCCCTTTAGTAGGTTCGCCCACAGTGAGCATCTCTGATGTTCGGCCCCCTTTAGTAGGTTCGCCCACAGTGAGCATCTCTGATGTTCGGCCCCTTTAGTAGGTTCGCCCACAGTGAGCATCTCTGATGTTCGGCCCCCTTTAGTAGGTTCGCCCACAGTGAGCATCTCTGATGTTCGGCCCCCTTTAGTAGGTTCGCCCACAGTGAGCATCTCTGATGTTCGGCCCCCTTTAGTAGGTTCGCCCACAGTGAGCATCTCTGATGTTCGGCCCCCTTTAGTAGGTTCGCCCACAGTGAGCATCTCTGATGTTCGGCCCCCTTTAGTAGGTTCGCCCACAGTGAGCATCTCTGATGTTCGGCCCCCTTTAGTAGGTTCGCCCACAGTGAGCATCTCTGATGTTCGGCCCCCTTTAGTAGGTTCGCCCACAGTGAGCATCTCTGATGTTCGGCCCCCTTTAGTAGGTTCGCCCACAGTGAGCATCTCTGATGTTCGGCCCCCTTTAGTAGGTTCGCCCACAGTGAGCATCTCTGATGTTCGGCCCCCTTTAGTAGGTTCGCCCACAGTGAGCATCTCTGATGTTCGGCCCCCTTTAGTAGGTTCGCCCACAGTGAGCATCTCTGATGTTCGGCCCCCTTTAGTAGGTTCGCCCACAGTGAGCATCTCTGATATTCGGCCCCCTTTAGTAGGTTCGCCCACAGTGAGCATCTCTGATGTTCGGCCCCCTTTAGTAGGTTCGCCCACAGTGAGCATCTCTGATGTTCGGCCCCCTTTAGTAGGTTCGCCCACAGTGAGCATCTCTGATGTTCGGCCCCTTTAGTAGGTTCGCCCACAGTGAGCATCTCTGATGTTCGGCCCCCTTTAGTAGGTTCGCCCACAGTGAGCATCTCTGATGTTCGGCCCCCTTTAGTAGGTTCGCCCACAGTGAGCATCTCTGATGTTCGGCCCCCTTTAGTAGGTTCGCCCACAGTGAGCATCTCTGATGTTCGGCCCCCTTTAGTAGGTTCGCCCACAGTGAGCATCTCTGATATTCGGCCCCCTTTAGTAGGTTCGCCCACAGTGAGCATCTCTGATGTTCGGCCCCCTTTAGTAGGTTCGCCCACAGTGAGCATCTCTGATGTTCGGCCCCCTTTAGTAGGTTCGCCCACAGTGAGCATCTCTGATGTTCGGCCCCCTTTAGTAGGTTCGCCCACAGTGAGCATCTCTGATGTTCGGCCCCCTTTAGTAGGTTCGCCCACAGTGAGCATCTCTGATGTTCGGCCCCCTTTAGTAGGTTCGCCCACAGTGAGCATCTCTGATGTTCGGCCCCCTTTAGTAGGTTCGCCCACAGTGAGCATCTCTGATGTTCGGCCCCCTTTAGTAGGTTCGCCCACAGTGAGCATCTCTGATGTTCGGCCCCCTTTAGTAGGTTCGCCCACAGTGAGCATCTCTGATGTTCGGCCCCCTTTAGTAGGTTCGCCCACAGTGAGCATCTCTGATGTTCGGCCCCCTTTAGTAGGTTCGCCCACAGTGAGCATCTCTGATATTCGGCCCCCTTTAGTAGGTTCGCCCACAGTGAGCATCTCTGATGTTCGGCCCCCTTTAGTAGGTTCGCCCACAGTGAGCATCTCTGATGTTCGGCCCCCTTTAGTAGGTTCGCCCACAGTGAGCATCTCTGATGTTCGGCCCCTTTAGTAGGTTCGCCCACAGTGAGCATCTCTGATGTTCGGCCCCCTTTAGTAGGTTCGCCCACAGTGAGCATCTCTGATGTTCGGCCCCCTTTAGTAGGTTCGCCCACAGTGAGCATCTCTGATGTTCGGCCCCCTTTAGTAGGTTCGCCCACAGTGAGCATCTCTGATGTTCGGCCCCCTTTAGTAGGTTCGCCCACAGTGAGCATCTCTGATATTCGGCCCCCTTTAGTAGGTTCGCCCACAGTGAGCATCTCTGATGTTCGGCCCCCTTTAGTAGGTTTGCCCACAGTGAGCATCTCTGATGTTCGGCCCCCTTTAGTAGGTTCGCCCACAGTGAGCATCTCTGATGTTCGGCCCCTTTAGTAGGTTCGCCCACAGTGAGCATCTCTGATGTTCGGCCCCCTTTAGTAGGTTCGCCCACAGTGAGCATCTCTGATGTTCGGCCCCCTTTAGTAGGTTCGCCCACAGTGAGCATCTCTGATGTTCGGCCCCCTTTAGTAGGTTCGCCCACAGTGAGCATCTCTGATGTTCGGCCCCCTTTAGTAGGTTCGCCCACAGTGAGCATCTCTGATGTTCGGCCCCCTTTAGTAGGTTCGCCCACAGTGAGCATCTCTGATGTTCGGCCCCCTTTAGTAGGTTCGCCCACAGTGAGCATCTCTGATGTTCGGCCCCTTTAGTAGGTTCGCCCACAGTGAGCATCTCTGATGTTCGGCCCCCTTTAGTAGGTTCGCCCACAGTGAGCATCTCTGATGTTCGGCCCCCTTTAGTAGGTTCGCCCACAGTGAGCATCTCTGATGTTCGGCCCCCTTTAGTAGGTTCGCCCACAGTGAGCATCTCTGATGTTCGGCCCCCTTTAGTAGGTTCGCCCACAGTGAGCATCTCTGATGTTCGGCCCCCTTTAGTAGGTTCGCCCACAGTGAGCATCTCTGATGTTCGGCCCCCTTTAGTAGGTTCGCCCACAGTGAGCATCTCTGATGTTCGGCCCCCTTTAGTAGGTTCGCCCACAGTGAGCATCTCTGATGTTCGGCCCCCTTTAGTAGGTTCGCCCACAGTGAGCATCTCTGATGTTCGGCCCCCTTTAGTAGGTTCGCCCACAGTGAGCATCTCTGATGTTCGGCCCCCTTTAGTAGGTTCGCCCACAGTGAGCATCTCTGATGTTCGGCCCCCTTTAGTAGGTTCGCCCACAGTGAGCATCTCTGATGTTCGGCCCCTTTAGTAGGTTCGCCCACAGTGAGCATCTCTGATGTTCGGCCCCCTTTAGTAGGTTCGCCCACAGTGAGCATCTCTGATGTTCGGCCCCCTTTAGTAGGTTCGCCCACAGTGAGCATCTCTGATGTTCGGCCCCCTTTAGTAGGTTCGCCCACAGTGAGCATCTCTGATGTTCGGCCCCCTTTAGTAGGTTCGCCCACAGTGGGCGAACCTCGAAAATAGGATTTCAGTCAAAAGTGTTCGGGCGAACCGAACATGTTCGGTTCGCCCACTGAGTGTGTTCGTCACAGTTCGGACGAACATGTTCGATGTTCGTCCGGTGCTCATCCCTACCCTCCCGAGATGAATGTGCTGCCCTGCTGAGAATGTATGTGCTATCCTGCCTTGCCTTCCCAAGACCCTGCCTTGCCATAAACGACGTCTTCGCGGATCTTGTCCCAAATCTGTCCCAAAACACACCTTCGGGACGCATCAAAGGTCACCAGTTCGAATCCCATAGCCGGCATTTTCTTGCTCATGACAGCATTTCCTTAAAACATCGATTGCCCTGTATGGGTCCCAGCAGCCCCGATGGTACGTGCTCTTGCCTGGTTGTGTATTCTGGTGTGGGCAATACGGGTTCTGGTTGGGCGTGTGCCCCCGTCCTCTATGCAGGCCCAAGTGGCCGTTGGGACGCTGCTCTGGCAATCTCTCTTCCGCCTGCTAACTTGCTCCATCATTGCCTGCTCTACCACTCCGTGCTGCTGCACCGTGTGTGATGAGCCTACTTTTGAGTCGACTCAAAATATAATCTGATGGTGATGAGCCTACTTTTGAGACGACTCAAAATATAATCCGTGTGTGATGAGCCTACTTTTGAGTCGACTCAAAAGTAGGCTCTGGCAATCTCTCTTCCGCCTGCTAACTTGCTCCATCATGGCGTGCTGTACCACTCCATGCTGCTGCACCACCAAACCCTTAGTCCGTCCGTCTCTCCTCTGCTCCCGTCCTCTCATCATCTTTCTTCTTTTCCATTCCATTCGGAAGACCCCAGGTGGCCGCTGGATCGAATGCTATGGCACGGGCCGGGGATCTACTGTAAAGCCAAGGACAACAACACCAAGCCCACCGTGTGCCTGCACCACTACGGCCACCGCAAGCTCTTTGTGGACCCCAGACGGGTGGGCTTGCCTTCTTTTGAAGGCCCCAAATTTGTGCTTATTTCGGAAGAGCCTAGCATATAGTCTTCTGCAGAGCTATGGACAACCACACTAAGCCGACCGTGTGCCTCAACCACTATGGCCACCGCAAACCTTTTCTGGACCCCAGAAAACTTGCTCGTTTTCTCTCTAACTTCCCAAAATCCCTAATCGACCTGTCGCCCCCCTGCTCCTCCCATGCTGCTGCACATGTGCGAGCAGTGATTAACGCTCTTGTTCAGGAACCCAGAGAGGGCAAAAGAGGCACCTGAACACCCTGTGGTCCCTCTCCTTCTCCACTTCTTGCATCACAGGTGTGAGCAGTGATGAACCACAGGGTTCGGGATGCTGCTAAAGGGGGTGCAGACCGTCTTTGTTACCATTCAGACGCCTTGATCTTTGGTCCCTCCTCTCTCCCCCTCCTGCTTCACAGGTGCGAGCAGTGATGAACCACGTGGTTCAGGAACCCACTATTGGCGGCGGCAAACCTTTAAGTTCTATCGCCCTGTGGTCCCCTTGTCCTTCCCTCCTGTTTCTGCATCACAGGTGCGAGCTGTGATGAACCACGGCGTTCGGGATCCCGCTAAAGGGGGCGCAGACCTGTCTACAGACCTTCTCAGGCACCACCACTTCCATGTGAGTGCTCTTTTGTGGCAGCTTTGTGTTCCGAGTCGACTCAAAGCACACGTGGTTCAGGGACCCACCACAGGGGGTGTAGACCTGTCTATGGACCTTCTTAGGCACCACCGCTTCCACGTGAGTGCTCTGAAATGTCTTCGCTTTGCATTCAAGTGGCAACCCCTTGACCAGTGGATTCCTGCCCGCAGACACACTCACTCAGGCAGGCACCACCACTTCCACGTGAGTGCTCTGTGATGTCTCTGCGTTCATGTTGCAACCTCTTGATCAACGACTGGCTGCCCACTGACCGCCCCGAACAGGCACATAACTGCCAGATAGGTTGGGTGTAACTGACCTCTGTTGACTCGCGTTGACCTCTGTTGACTCTCATTGGCCTCTGTTGACTGTCGTTGACCTCTGTTGACTCTCATTGACCTCTGTTGGCTTGTACCTCGGGTCATAATCAAGCAGGGCATCAAGGAGAGCACGCTGATAGTGAAGGAGCATGACAGCATACCAAGGATCCCAGAAATAATTGACCCCTCATTGACCTCTGTTGACTCTCGTTGAATCCTGTTGACTGGACTCTGTTGACTGGATTTCCATTGACCTCTGTTGACCTGTTTCTCAGGGGATAATCAAGCAGGGCATCAAGGAGTGCACGCTGATAATGAAGGAGCACGACAACATAACGGAGGATGTCATAGTGTTGACTCTCGTTGACCTCTGTTGACTTTCCTCCAGGGCATAATCAGGCAGGGCATCAAGGAGTGCACCCTCATAATGAAGGAGCATGACAACATAACCTGGTGGTCCCGGGGGCGAGAGGAAGCGGACAGAATGGAATACGTGCGCACCCATCCCCTTGACACGCAATACCTTGTTGCGGCACACAGGGTGAGTGGTTGAATACAAATGACCTCTTACAGACCACGGGGATTCCCACGTGAATGACTTTTGAGGTGCCTCAAAAGTCGCAGGCCAGCCAGTGCCATGCTCCCAGCGTCAACAACACGTCCCTCACCTTCAACACTCTCGTCTGCTTTTGAGGCGCCTCAAAAGACACGCAATGCCTTGTTGCGGCACACGGGTGAGTGGTTGAATACAAATGATCTCTTACAGGCCACGGGATTCCCACGTGAATGATGATGAGAGGAGGGTGCTGATGCAATGGTTGCAACCCCACCGTTGAGGAGCCTAAAGAACCGCTTCTGAGGCGCCTCAAATAATATTCCCATGCGAAAGATGAGAGTAGGGTGCTGCTGATGCAATGGTTGCAACCCCACCGTTGAGGCGCCTAAAGAACCGCTTCTGAGGCGCCTCGAATAATATTCCCATGCGAAAGATGAGAGTAGGGTGCTGCTGATGCAATGGTTGCAACCCCACCGTTGAGGCGCCTAAAGAACCGCTTCTGAGGCGCCTCAAAGATCGCTTCTGAGGCGCCTCAAAGATCGCTTCTGAGGCGCCTCAAAGATCGCTTCTGAGGCGCCTCAAAGATCGCTTCTGAGGCGCCTCGAATAATATTCCCATGCGAGAGATGAGAGTAGGGTGCTGATGCAATGCTTGTAAGCCCACACCTACCGTATTAGCATGCCGTAGTATTTTTTGTTGTACTCAGATCAAGTGGTTAGTGTGTGGAGAAAGGCGAGTCCCATGAGAAAGAGGAGGGAAGGCTGAGAAAGAGGAGGGAAGGCTGAGAAAGAGGAGGGAAGGTTGAGAAAGAGGAGGGAAGGCTGCTGGGATGTGCCATGGCGCCATGTGTGCCGCTTGTCAAATGAAAGGTGGGTAGATACGGTTGCAGCAAGCTCAGTTGGCCGACTAGTGACCACGGTAATCCAAATGTCTTGAGACGTCTGTCACACCGGGCTAGGTAGGTAGGTACGCCACGCCACGCATGCCAGGTGCTGGTATATAATTGAATGGGGCTTGTGTCTGTCCTTTGTGACTTTTGAGTCGACTCAAAAGTCACCGTATGCCAGGTGCTGGTATATCATTGAATGGGGCTTGCGTCTGCCCTTTGTTTTCTCGTGCTGCTTGCGATGCAGTGGTGGAGAGAGCACGTGCAAAGGACACACCAAGGCCAGTAGTGGAGTGGCATTGATTTTAAGAGGAGACCTTTTGGTTCGACCCTAAAGTAGGGGTCGACTCTGAAGTAGTGTTGTTGTGCCATGGATCCTTGGTCATATAGTAAAGGCTGGTGCATTAAATTCACTCGTTGCAAACTCTGATTGATTCTTACCAAAGCTATGTTCTTTTTTTTCCTCAGCCACAGTAACAAAATTAGATATGGTATGGTACAGTTACAAGAGGAAATCCATTTTCACATCTACCACGTCGAGCTGGATAATATCAGCTTCACAGCCCAGCAGTGACCCGATGCTGTGCAGCAGGCAAGGGGTGAAGTGGGAGAGAGCGCACAGGGGCAGGGGAATGGGGGCAGCATATCAGGGAATGGCCATGAAATGGAATGCAAGAGTGTAAGAACAAACGATGACACATGAATGAACAGGAGCAGACACAAGAGTGTAAGACCTTGAGCAGGCAAGAGAGTAAGACCGTGAGAGAAAAGAAGGGTGGGAGGGAGTATAGGTAAGGGGGGGCTCTTTACTTGGGCTGTGTCCGGCCGAAATCACCATGCACAAACTCCTTTACATAGGTTCCCGCCTGCCACACACATACACAGAAGCAGCCATAGCAGCAGGAGAAGGAGGAGGAGAAGGAAGAGGCACGGGTAAGAGATGAAGATTACTAGTGTGTGGTGGACTGTGCATATGTTAGTTGGGGATTGTATGGCTCGGGTATTGTTCTTTGATTGGGAATCTATACGCCAAGCCAGCTAGACCTACCCAAGAGTGGCAAGGTGGCGGAGGAACTCATGTGGCTTGACGGCACCCGATGGCACCATGTGGCACCATGTGGCACCGCACTGTATGACTTGCCTGAGTGGTGAGATGGAGTAGGGACACGTGCGGGTTCGATGGCACCAGATGACACCTCATGGCACCACGTAACACCATAGGGCATCGTGTGGCACCATGCAGCACCATGTGGCACCACACTGTATGACTTGCCTGAGTGGTGAGGTGGAGGAGGAACACATGTGGGTTTGACGGCACCAAATGGCACTGCATGCTGCAGTGGTGAAGGGAGGAAAGGGGGGGAAATTGCGGAAGGGGAAAGTTGTGAGGAGTCATACTCCGAGACGTAGCGATTAGGCAGGGAAGGAAGGCGGGTGGGGAAAGTGAAATAAAATGGCACCACAAACTGCTGTGGTGAAGGGAGAGAAGGTGAGTGATGGGAGGAATCATGCGCATTCTGCACTGCTCTATCACCTGTAGATGGTTCGAGGGCGAGTGAGAGGGCTTCGTCTGTGTAACACTCGTATGGGGGTCTTTTGCTGCAGCTCCTGCTGGGATGAGAGATAAAGAAAGAGATGCATTCAGGTGAAGGAAAAGAAAACGAGAGAAGAGAAATTAAACAGGAAGGTGCACATTCTTCCATGTTCTTCATGTGTGCCTCCTTCCAACATTGGATTGGCTAACAACGTTTAGGCTTTGGTTCTTTCATATGCTTGCGCTGCGCTATTGCAGATTGCGCCATGGAAGGGAAAACTGAAACCAGGAAAAGGAAAATCCAAGAATTTCAATCAATAAAAAAGACAAAAGTGCGCATCTACTTTGAAATGCAGCGACAAAGCAGAAGGGCGGGAGCTGCAAATTGCACCTACCAGGTCTTTTATGCTCTCCAGTTTCGCCACGTCAGCTTGTGTGATTGGTCGAGAGATCCACACCACTGCCACGTAGGATTTCTGCAGTGTAAGTTGCATCATAAAGACAACAATATTTAGCAGGTGCTAATAAGGAAGAATGGTGAAAATCACTTGTCACACACAACCCATCCACACCCCCCCCACACACACACATGCTTCCATATTTATGCATCCAGCCCCATAACCCACACTGTGGATCAACGGTCATCCCATCCACTTCACGATGAAGTCCTAACTGGCACATTACCCCCACTTTCATGCACAGCGTCCCCTCCCTTTCCTTCTCTTGTCCCCCCAACAACCCGCCCACATTCATTCCTCGCCCACTCACCTGCTTCTCCGCCTCCCCCTGCCGCATCAACGCGCACACACGTGAATCTGCCAACTGTAGCTGACACACGCCCACCTAGGGGGATGAGCGGTAGAAGGATGGGAGACAGATGGTCGGGTGGTAAGGGCATGGAATTTGGTTTGTGTGAAGCCTCAACTGCCGTCCTTGCCTCCCCCTGTCGCATCAGCGCACACACACGTGAATCTGCCAACTGCAGCTGACACACGCCCACCTAGGGGGATGCGCGGTACAGAGATGGGAAGTAGGAGGGCATGAAATGTGATTCGCCTGAAACCTCAAAAGGCCTCTCTGCCCCCTCCTGCCGCATCAGCGCGCACGCGTGAATCTTCCAGCTGCAGTTGACACACGCCCACCTAAGAGAATGGGCGGTAGAGGGATGGGCGGTAGAGAGATGGGCGGTAAGGGCATGGAATGTGTTTCACACGTGTAAAGACTGTTTCACAGTCACTCAACAGTCAACTTCCATCACTCACTCACCTTGCCCCTCTCCTGCTCGTTGATCTCCTTCTCTAACCTCTCTAGCTCCTCAGCGCTAGGCACCTGCGTGGCCCCTCTTAATATATCAACTCAAGCATCACTTAAATCAACCTCCATCACTCACCTTGCCCCTCTCCTGCTCGTTTATCTCCAGCTCTATCCTCCCTAGCTCCTCAGCCGTAGGCACTCGCCTCGCCCCTTTGAGCTCCAGAAGAAACGGTCGCCCTGAACCCAGCATGCGCACCTGTGGAAAGGAGGGGGGAGGGGACAAGAACGGGAGGGGGAAGCGGACGGGGGCGGGAGGGGATGGGGAAGTGGGACGGGAATCGAGAGTGCTCTCCCCTTGTATCCTCCTCAGTCGTAGGCACTCGCCTCGCCCCTTTGAGCTCCAACAGAAACGGCCGCCCCGAACCCAGCATGCGTACCTGTGCGTTTAAGGGGGGGAAGAGGAAAGGGTTGGGGGGTATTGGCGCACCCACCTGGCTTCCTCAGCCACAGGCTGCTGCTCCCTGAGTGAGAATCAGTGAGATTGGTGAGCGAGTCAGTGAGGTGGTTTTTGAGTCGACTCAAAAGTCACCTCGTTACAAAATGGTTGGGGGAATGTTGACGCACCTGCCTGGCACCTCTGACTGGCCTCCTCAACCACAGGCTGATGCTCCCTAAGTGATAATCAACGAGATTGTTGAGCGAATCATGTGTCAAGATTCACGAACACTGATGTCTTTTGGAGCGATTATTAACAATTCTCCGAAATTGCATGTGATTGTTGAGTGATCTTCTGTACAAGAATGCAGTCGGCTACAACACTAGGTGTGCTGAGGATCCACTCGGGATCATGCAAGAGAACGCTCGCATTGCAATCAACAATTTGGGGGTGAGTGGAGGTACCAATTTTACTGTGTTCTGTATGCATGCTAGAGGTGGTTAAATGTTTTTATTTTCGCCATCTATCAATTCCGATTAAGCCCATCTGAACATTGCGTAATTCTTCTATCATTTTCCCTCTGTACACTCTTTCTCCCCTTCCATCCCGCACTCTTCTGCCTCAGGTCCATGTTATAGACGCTGACCACAATGCGTACTACCATTTCGTGCAACATGCTGAAATCACGCAATACCACCACATTGATGGATATTAATCGAATTCGTTTGCAATGATTACAAAGTCATGTTCTCGTTTCATACCGAAGACAAGGAAAAGGTCTGCAATGTTATTCACATCAACTCGGCGAATCTATTTTATATGCTTTTGCGAATGGATGTGAATCGCACCGCATATTTTTTCCCTGACTTCGGAATGAAACGAGAACATGACTTCGTGATCATTGCTAACGAATTCGATGAAAAAATATCAATGTGGAGTACTGCATGATTCTGGCATGGTGCACGAAATGGTAGTACACAATGTGACCATCATTTATAACATGGACTTGAGGAGGCATAAGAGTGCGAGATGGAAGAGAGTACAATAAGAAAACGATAGAAGAAGTACGCAATGTTCAGATGGGCTTTAACGGACCTAATAGATGGCGAAAATGAAAGCATACAACCACCCCTAGCATGCATACAGAAAACAGTATAATTGATACCTCCACTCACCCCCAAATTCTTGATTGCAATGCGAGCGTTCTCTGGCATGATCCCGAGTGGATCCTCAGCACCTAGCATTGTAGCCGACTGCATTCTTGTACGAAAGGTTACTCAAGGATTGCAAAATCGCACGTTTGAAACCACATCAGTTCGTGACTCTCACTCTCTCTAATCGGTCGCAACAAGCGGAAAAGTATGTGTGGGGAAAATACATCCTTTGGTGACTAACACTCACTCACATCAATGTCCTCACGCCCAGCGGCTTGGAACTTGTGCGAGAGTGGTTGGAGGAGAGGCAGCAGGTGGGATGCTATTAGATCCTGCACATTTTGGAAAACGTGCACAAAGAAATATAACCCATGATAAGTTCCCGTAATAAGCAACTGCACAGATCCAACCGAATTATAAGCACCTGCGTGAAGCCATCCCCACTATAAGCAGCAGCACGAAGCCATCCCCGTAATAGCAGTCATCCTGGCTAACCAGCACAGAAATATTCCCACTATATGCACCTGCACAGAGCCATCCCCGCTATAAGCACCGGCACAGAACCACTCCCACTATATGCACCTGCACTGTTCCTGCTATAAGCACCGGCACGGAACCATTCCCACTATACGCACCTGCACGCACGGAGTCATCCCGCTAGAAGCACCTGCACAGAGCCATCCCCGCAATAAGCACCTGCGCTGGCACGGAGCCATCGCTAAGCACCTGCAAAGAGCTATTGTTTCACCCTTATAATCACCTGCACAGTGCCATCCCCAGTATAAGCAACTGGACAGAGCCATCCCCGTTATAAGCAACTGGACAGAGTCATCCCCGTTATAAGCACCTGGACAGAGCCATCTCCCATCTGCTCATCATCCACCGTCCATGGGGACTGGCTCAGCGCGCGGGAGAACTGCCACCCACACCGAGATGGAGAACCCGAGGGGGGACAAGGGGGGGAGGAGGGGGGAGTTGGGAGGGGGGGGAGGGGAAAGGGGTTTTGAATGATGAAGGTGAAACAATAGGGGGGTTCTCAAAGGAATGGGTTCAGGGTGTGAGAAAAATGCCACACACCTCCAAGATACAGTAGGGGTTTGGAGAAAGGGGATCTTATTTCAGAAGGAAAGAGAGGAGGGGTTTTGAAAGAGGGGGTTTGGTGGGAGCAGGATTTAGCGGGGTTTAGTGAAGGGGTTTAGAGGGGTTTAGATACTGGGACCAAGGGACGAGGGACGGACACGTTTTGGACGAAGGGAAGGAAGGGGAGGGGAGATAAAGGAGTTTCTGGTCTGTAATGGAGTGGCAGGAAAGAGGTTGGTTGTCTGTTTCTGACGAGCAAATCATAGTGATTAATCATAAAAAGAAATTTAGGTGGGTAAATCATAGTGATTAATCATAATGGAGGAGGTCAGGTTGAAAGCGGCACCTTTAAGTATCGCCCAGCAATGTAGACCGACTCTGCTACCGCGGCAGCAGCCTCGTCTTTCTTAGAAACTTCAGGTAACGTTCTAGTTGAAGGTGTGGGACCCTCCGCTCCTTCCGATTTCCTGTCTTGGCCCTCGATGCGAGGCCTCTTAGCCGCTATTTCCATTATTTCTGTGATCGACCCCTTCTCTGCCGCACTCCCCGTCAATTGCAAGTCCGCCATCCGCTCTCGTCCCCCTCCTTCCCCCGCGTCCCTCCCCTTTTCCCCCGTCCCTCCCCTCCCGTGCGCCCTCCGCGTTCCGCTAGGCTCAGATTCCGCAACGTGCAGGGTTTGTTGGAATGGTTCGGAATGGTTTGGAATGGTTCCAATTCGGAATCTGGCTCGGAACGATACTTCTTTGAATGTTGGACGCACCAACAGCGGGCTCGATTACGAAGGGCTCTAACAACCAATCTCTTGCTGCGTTGGGGGTTAGGCATGCATTAGCGCCTCGTTTATTAGATCTATATTCTAAGAACTGAGTGTGGAATATGATGTGTTTCTAGGGAGCCTTTCAGGAAACCCTAAAACATGTTTCTTCTCCCGCCTGTGTTTCATGTGTCGCACTCAGATCGCAACGTGCTATGAGATTTGCAACCAATGTGCAATCAGAATCGAACTGGTCGAATTACTGTATCCTTGGTTGCAAGTTACGAGCCGCAGCGACGATCTCCTGAAGGTGTGTTTGGGTGGGCGAAAAAAAACGAGGGCGTTTCCTGGGAGCGAAAAGTCGCAAATGCCCGAAACTGCACTGTTTGGTTTCGTTCACTGGCTTCGCCGCTGGGGGAATTTCAGAAAAGCTGTATCACAAAATTCCTGAATCCGTGAGGATAGAGAATCTTTTTGAGTCGGACTGTTACCACATCACCAAAAAGTTGACGTCCCAAACCCCTCCCCCCAAAATGACCTCCCCGCAAGTGATTTAGAGGATTCCCAAATCTGTCCCAAAAATGTCCTCCTTCCCGAAAGATACTTTCGGGAACGTTTGTTGAGTTTTCCCCATGTATCCCTTCCCAAATTTGTCCTCTCCTGTGATGCCCGCCCCCAGCTGAGCTCGAGCCGCCCTGTTCAAAATGTCTCGAAATTGTCCTCCTACACAATGCTTTTGTGGGAGTGTCCCAGTGCATGCAGATCTTGACGGTACGTGTTCGATTCCCGCGACGACAACATTCAACTATCCGCATTTGTATATTCTTTTCGGAAAAATTAATAAGACGTCTACACAATGTACTTCATAAATAGACAGACATATAAACTATTTCCAGATCTCTGGACCCCTAACGCCTGGCACATAGAACGAAACCAACGCCACCACACACATTGAGGTCACGACGATAAATTACACAGATAAGCAACGCCTGGCCAACCATACCTTTTGTTAAGCAACGGTTAAATATCTCTGCCTATTCACATTTACCCACTACTAGGCCTCCAGGTTAACGCAAACCACATGCGGTCGTACCAATAGGGACACCACTTGTGTGTCGAGGATAATAGCGCATACGCAGCACTGTCGGCAATGCCAGGTCTGGCGCCCTGGAGAGCGTATGCAAGTCAAAACAAGTTACGGTAAAGCCTCTAAAGTTTAGGCTAAAACAAAAACCTGTTGACCAAGAAGTACTGGGGGTCAACGAATGATGGAACGATGTGTGCAAGGCATAGGATGCTCTCCAACTCGATCACAGCATACTCATCGGCACCACTCGTTGGCAAGAGCCTCTTGCAACCAGTCACTGGACAAGGTGGCTCGACCTCATTGTAGTACTTGATAAATGCCCGCTGGATGAGGTCCCCATCCGGTCCTGTGAACTGGAAGAGAACCAGGACCCTGCCGAACCACACCGCACCACCCCCCTGAATGCGAATGTGGCTGAACTTCCTCTCATCGGGGGCGGCCTTCACCAACTGCCCATGGTCCCCCCTGTCCATCCGGTCGTGGGGAGGGATCGCCAGTGCCGTGTGCACCTGGAGGCCAAAGCGCAACAAGTGAATAGGGCATACGGCAAGGATAACCTGCGGGAAGTCCTAGTCCAAGGGTATGGGCTAAAGTATCGATGTGCGCTCACATGTAGGCGTGTCACGGTGATCCTCGACCGCGCCAGCTCCCTGGAAAACTTGAGCATCACCTCCTCGCCAAGCGCCAATTTGTATGACGTCCAGGCGGAGTCGTACGGTGCTCCAAGGGTCATGCCCCGAAAGTTCTTGGTGAGCACACGCTCGTTGCGGTCGATCGCCTGCACAACAAGGAAACCAGTGCCACATTCACATATGAATGAAGAAGGGACGTACATATGCGAGACGATCGACAAGAGTGCACATATGTAACACAACGTCTGACACATTTGACCGATGGCAACGAGATGCGGTTCACAACTCACCAGACGCATGGCTGTCTCGTACGTCTTGCCACCGCCTTCGTGACTGGTCAGCTCCTTGATCGCAGCAAGGCGTTCGTGCCTCACGGCGATGTCACGGCCCACATCACGCCAATTGGAGTTCCGCGCATGATGCTTCACCTCCGTCTTGTGCGAATGCTCCCCCATGTTCGTTGAATATTCTTGCGGCATGCCTCGAGTGCGGATCAAGTCGGGGAGGTGCGCCATCTCATGCACCTTTACAAGCAGCCAATGGGACTTCTGGTTGGGAAACACTCGCACGAGCGTTTCACCCAGCCTGGCCGGGTCAGCAACAACCGTACAATGCACGTGGCGGCCATGAACAATTGCAGTTCCGGGTCTACACATAGAGCGTAAAAGAAGACGGGCGCATGGGTATGCATGGATTGAGACACTCACTGCTCAGTCATGGCACTGCACAGCGTCAAAGACGCCTCGGTGTGGTACGGAACTTTGAAGTACGCCCGGTACCATTCGTTGAACTGCACCATCGCCTGACCGATGTCCTCGCGGCCCAGTAGGTGCATGAGAAGCGGCACAATCTGCATCATGGCCCGATGCTCCCAGGCGGCGTAGTGTGCGAGTGTGCGGAAGTAGGTGACAACATTCGGCACTCTCAGGACAGACCCCGGTGTTTCGCCCACAAGAATCCGTGCATTCCTGTTTATACAAAAAACCCTGGGTTTAGAACCGCCCAGTTACGGGTCCGTGGTTAGCGGTTACATGGAACTCACATGGCACGGGCAACACTAGTCACATTGCTGTCAAGCAGCAGTCACATTATATGCAAACCCTTGACCCGTTGAAGTCAGATGGCTTGCACCAAGCACTCGCACTGCAGATCGAAGGCATTCACCTGGCAGTCAGGTGTCAGTCATAAGGTAGTCACATGGCCGTCACATGGCTGTCACACGGCTGACACACGGCAGTCACATGGCAGTCACACGGCTGTCACACGGCTGTCACATGGCAGTCACACGGCTGTCACATGGCAGTCACACGCCAGTCACATGGCAGTCACCCGGCAGTCACATGGAAGCACACGGCAGTCAGACGGCAGTCACACGGCAGTCACACGGCAGTCACACGGCCGTCACACGGCAGTCACACGGCAGTCACATGGCAGTCACATGGCAGTGTCTGACCCCAGACACCAGTCAGGTCATCGGCACTACATAGGCTAGGGAGCCCGTGTATCTTCTTCTATCCCTCATGAGCAGTGTTGTACTCACGTGATCAAGATGCTCTTCTCGGTCGGCGTAAGCAGGCCAAGACAACAGCGCATCCCATGGACCCACATCCCTTCGTCCACCGCGTGTAGAATGCACACACCTATGGCCTCATAGAGATTGCCCCATGGGTTTGTGACATAGCCCCACTCCCACAATGCACACTGCCATACAAGAGAGGGGCACACTATGATGGAAAGACACGAAGTAACCGCAATAGGCCAATATATGGCGGGAACGGGCAGTTTGAACTCACCGCCACATAGTGGGTGGACCACGCCTTCTTAATAAGGGCTCGCTCCTCGGGCGTGCTCCTGGCCATGTCCTCGAACAGCAGCTTCTAATCTGCTACAGTGCGCGGTGTCAAGGCTGCCGCTACCTTGGCGAGGTCCCATCGGCTTACGGTGCACATGGAGCACGGCTTGTTGGCCGAAGCCGCCATGGTGCACGTGAGCTTGCTCGACTCGGGGTGGTCACAGGCCCAAATAGATAGCATGGGTACGACGGTATACTGTCAACCCGCATGATCCATGACCTGCACCCCCCCCCTGTTGAATGGTGCTTAGTGAACAAGTGTCATTTAAACGTTTAGGACATAATTCGTCTCCCAGTTCACATGACTTACCTCTCAGCAGTGGATACCGCCATAATCGGTCCCAGGACAATTTGCAACATCTTTTGCACTGCAGCTGTCTTCTGCTCCGCCGTCATGTCAGAAGGCAGAGCCGGAAACAATGCGATCAGCTCTGAACCCCCCAACAGCCACCGAAACGCCTTTGGGATGTTGATCAAGGTCATTAGCAGCGGGTGTGCGAACTGGCGACCATTGAAGGTTAGGTGAGTGCAATCGCTGAAGAGCAGTATTCCCGCCACTATGCCCATACCCTTGAGCTCCTCCTGCCAACCAACGATTCTAGGTTACGCCGTTTGCCCCATATCCCATCCCTGCTCCAATTGACGGTTATTGATGAAGCGCATTGAGCTGTAGGTAGGGCATACCGTAGCAAGGTGAAACCAGTTCGTATCCACCGGGCTGGTGTACCTCCGCTCCTCATTGACCTCTGTGATCGTGGGTCGAGTTGCAAAGCCCTCCACACCTGACATTCGGGCCCACATCTTGAGAAAGACCTGCATGTTATGGGTTGTGTCAATGTAGTTTCGCGCAAGCTATGCGCCGAACCGGCAACCCGATATCCAAAGACAAGCTGTTAGGCGCACCTGGACGATGGGGCGGTAGCGAAAGGTCACAGTCCCGAAATCACCAGCTAAGTCCAGATCCACGGCCACCCACGCCTCATCCCCTGGAGCGAACTCCCTCTCGAACTCCTCTAGATCACGGAATGAGTTCCAGAACTGCAAGTCCGACGCTGCCCATTTCATGCTCTTAAATAGTCGAATGATCTCGGTTATGGCGGTGTTCGGGAGAAAGTACTTGCGTACGATGTAGGCAAGTTCTATCCGCACGTCAAGCTCATCTGCCATTTCTTCAGACGAGGCTACAAATGGCGCATCTGGCATGTCCTCTTCCCCCAATTCGGCTGCGTCAGATCTCACGGATGCGGCGCTACTAGGCGGTGATGGCGCATTCGAAGGGGGCGATGGGGATTCCCTGATGGTTTCAGCAGCGTGGACGGTCGTATGCGCGTCAAAACCGCGCCGTGAACGTGACCCTTGGCCCGTCTATCCACCTGCTCTGCTATGCATAGTTTAAATGACCTCTGATGCACGCACATACGCTGGTTGTTCCTGAAGGTGCGGCCGCACCATTCGCACTCCTCGCGAGGCATAGTGGGGAGGCAGCATGCGGCGTCGGGATGCGCTGCGGTGGCACAGAACAGCGGCCGATTCTAGAAAACTAATGACCAGATTTGCATATGTGGTTAGCGCGAGCCATGTGCTGAGATTGCAAGAAGGACATATCTATGACGGAACTGTAGCGGTACCCGGATGACTCGTGCACGGCGCGAAATGGAGAGTGCGTAACCCTCATAGGTTACTTCAGTACATCAGACATTTGTCACACATGTCGGGTAATATATTGGCGGTTTGGGGATATGCCTATGATTTAAAATTTTATAAGTTAAGGGTTGTTTGCTAATGCACAAAACCATGATGCATAAATAATGATTGTCTGTAACTGCGTCGATAACTTTGAAAGGGAACCACACCCTTTCACACCGACTCAGGGAAATATGCAGCTGTCTGTATCACGGGCTCGTGCGCCGACGCTTCACATTACGATTGGGCATTAGCATCTCTGACAGCCTCAGCCACTGTTTGATGGTTGAAAAATCATTGATTTCGCCGGAATCTGCATGGATGATCCAGCGACAGTGTGCTTAGAGCCATAACTCACACAAAATGCGATTAGACATGTAAATGCGGAACACGTTCAAGGACTCACTGTCTATGGCCTTCGGCTCGTGCTGGTGTCCAAGTCTGGGTGGACGGTCGCGCTCCCCTTGCCAGGCATCATCTGGGTGGAGTGGTGGAAACAGGAAATGTCACTTTACCATTCCCAGACCGTCCCAACGATCCATAACACGGAATGCGATTGGTGCACACAGGCTCACTGGAATTTGGAGTAGTACGGCCCATGGGTGCAGTACCATTTGCCGCAGTATTATTCAGAGTACCCCTGGGGAGGCCCTGAGAACGTCCTTGAATACCGTTGTCGCCTAAAACACAGAGGTTGTCTCGTGTTACATGTGACCCTCTGGCTGCTTCACCCGCGGAAGTGGCTGATCACAATGTCGCAACGCGTGGCTTGACGAAGGAACCGCATGATAGACCGCTAAAGAGGATGCTATTCAACCACCCGCTAACCCCTTCTCTCAGGACAGGGGTTCCCCCTAGGCAGGAAGGTGCGGTGGGCGGTGCAAGTCGTGGATGGGGGGCGCACGACGAATGCGCAGGCGACCCGCGGGTGAGCGCTCATGGCGGACCTGCAGTGAGCGCCCTCGTGCGGACGGGCGGGAAGCATGACAAGGGCGACGATACGGCGGTGTACATCGTGGTGGACTACGACCCTGACGCACGGGTAGCTGGTCTTCCTCGAGGGATGGCATCGGATGAGCATATCCATGTAAGTAGTTTCGGGTGACGGACCGCCCATTCCTCGCGTGGTGTATTCCGAATCCGAATTGGGAGCTGTATAATGTATTATGCCTCTTGCATGCCCCCCATTGATGCCTAAACCCAGGAGTACGCAAAGCACGCGTGGGAGCTGATGGTGCGCCACACCTGGGCAAAGGCGGTCACATACTTCCCAAAGAACGGCGTACGGAACGAGGCCCTACGCCTATCCCTGCGGCGGCACTACGACGTGGTGGCTATCGACATCAGGGTGGCTATGGGGAAGACGAAATACAGTGGAAAGGTCGGCAAGGTGTTCTCGAAGTTCCGGAATGAATCATCGACTGAAGCGCGACATGTCATCCTCGCCGCGCTTGAGATCGACGCCGGTGGCCCGTACAAGCAGGAGATCCACCCCGACAAGAAGGTCTCACTCTGGCGGTCATATGGTCCGAGTGAGTGGTCGGGAGCAGGGGGGAGGGTGGAGGGGATTTAATTATATGCGGGGGTGGGGATGAGGACAAGGTTTGAGACCCATGCTGCTTGGCAGAAGCAGTGCTGCACATGGTACAAATGGGGCCGACCCGGCGGGTTCGTGACGTCATTAGGGGGGCTCTATTCCGTGCGCATGACTGGCTATATGTTCTTTCACTACCATAACCCTCCTGTGGGCCCGTTGCTTGTGTATGGGCAGGAAAGCACGCTCGTGTTGTGAAAGTCTATGAGTGCATCTGACACCCACTTTCCGTCGGCGATGGTAACCACATCCGCCTTCTTCACAACTAAGGCGAGACGGCGCTTGTTGTAGAGTTCCAGGTCCGGGAAGTCAACGGATTTCTTGCTCTGCCCGAGCTGCGCTATCACGTCCGCAGGCTCAGGCAACTCCTCCTTCATCCGAATCGGGGTCTCAAATTTCTTAAGACTCTCTGCCTGCAATGTTGCCGTGCGACTGCTACGGGTTTCACGCACATGGTCGGTCGATCTTGTCCGTGCCTGCCCACCCGCGCCCTTACCATTTTTTCTCGTCAACTGCTTTGCAAGTGCCATGTCTACGCGGCCTGTTACATGTGCGGTCAACGCGTGCTTGAGGCGTAAACTGCAGACAGGAATATCTTACTAACCCCGATAAGGGTACGACGGGGATTCTACTCCACTAAAAAAACCTAAGATCTACTTGCCATAGAACCCTGTAGTGAAAATGATCATCGAAGAGATGGCTGTTGTGGGAAAATGGTCATGTCACGCTTGTCAGTTTTGCGAAGTTGTTGCTCGCTTACGTGTGTAACATCTGTCCGCGTGGTGCAAGAGATTATTTCGTTTGTGATGTCATTGGTCGAGGTGGTCGAGTTGTTATAGTCACAATAGGCTTGAATGTGCCTAAAACGAAAGATAGAGAGCACAGACGGATTTCTGCACAGCGGCTTCAAACGTTGATAGCGTTCTGCTCACAGCTGCAAATGACTTGATTCAAATTGGATCTGGAGCGTCTTCACGTCGTCTACAATTAGCAATTTAGATTGCACGATTTGATAAAGAATTGACGACACAGCGTCGGTTTGAACGAACGATACTATGGCAGCCACTATAGTTTTAGAACACAAGATAGGAAGAGTTACAAGTTGGGAATGACTCCCAGCTCCTACAAACCCCAAGAGCCGAGGTACAGTGATGTGGAACAGTGCCACACTGTCCCCAACCACGAAGGGTCTCGAAACTACCCTTCACTAGAGCCTACACCAAGTGAAATGTTACACTACACAAAGTAATGTAACTATCTTCAATATCTTGAGGTGTACCCTTTTGGCAAGCTTCGAAATCACTTGAGGCTTGACACCAAGGCTCGGGCTCTTCATCACAAATTCATCCTTGAGTTCTTGATGGGTCTGCTGCACACACCTGCGACACGCCGAACGTTCGACACAGGACAAAATAGAAACCGCGCACGACAAAATAGAAACCGCGCGCGAGACACAAACGACCGCGTAACACGCGTCTAGCGATAACTCGCTATTGACTCGACACACACACTCGACATCATGACTCAACATTCACACACAATTATAAGCATGAAATATATATTATCCCATGCCCTCATACCATTCCATACACACACACATTCACGCACACGGACAACAAGCCGAGTGCAAACCGTAGGGTTGCACCAACAAACTCCCCCTCGGATTGTTGGCCTTAGGATATGTTGCTCTCTCAGTTCAGAGCCATCCCAGCCAGCTTGCAACACTTCCAATGCTGCTGCTCCACCAGCCTCTTGGTCATCATGTCAGCCGGCTGCCCCGTGGTCTTCACGTAGCGCAACTCAACTTCACCCGCGGTTACCATGCTCCTCGTCCAATGCCACTTCACCCTCATGTGCTTCGTGAGTCCATGCAACACAGGGTTCTTAGCAAGAGCAATGGCACCCTGGCTGTCACAGTACAGTGGGGTAGGTCCTTGCTGCTCCTCCCCCAATTGAGCCAACAAACGCCGCTGCCACACAATCTCCCGTACGGCACGGAAGAGTGCCATGTACTCGGACTCCACCGAGCTCAAAGCTTGGTCAACCTGCTTCTTGCTCTCCCAAGCAGTTGGGCCTCCACCAACACAGCATATGAAGCCTCCCACACTTGTCATGTCCTCTGGTTCTGATGCATATGAAGCATCCGAGTAGGCGGTGAGGAACAAACGCCCGGGTTCAACACCATCCGCGCCCTTTTGGCGCCTTTGTGCCGCCGCCGAGTATTGCAGCCCAACGGTCGGTGTTTGGCCAAGATACTTGGCCACCCTCATTCCAGCTGCTACCTGCTCCTCATTAGGGCATTGCACAACCCTAGCCAGCTGCCCGGTAGCAAACGCGACGTCCGGTCGGGTGTTTACCGCCGCATACATGAGGCTGCCCACCAACGAGTGAAATCGGCGCCTCTCCTCTTCACCAACGCTCTCCTCCTCTGGTCCCTTCACACACTTGAACCCAGAGGGAAAGGGTGTAGCCACATGGCCTTCCCTCTGCCCAAAGTTGGCAGCCAATGCCTCCAGGTACTTTCGCTGATGCACCCGCATGCACCGCTTCTCCACATCTCGTTCGATGTGGAGCCCAAGGTAGAAGCTCACGTCACCAAGGGCCTTGCACTTGAACTTGTCTTGAAGCTTCAGCATCACCTCCTTCACAAGGTCAGAAGAGGGTGAGAAAATGAGGATGTCATCCACATAAACCACCATGAAACTCCTCTGCTCCCCCTCGCCAAGCATGAACAAGGAGTGATCGGCCGTTGAGGGAGTGAAGCCGATCCCCTCCAACACTTCGCGCAGCTTCATGTACCATTGCCTAGGGGCCTGCTTCAGCCCATAGAGGGCCTTCTTCAGCTTCCAAACTCTGCCACTACCATCATCAAATCCCTCTGGCTGCGCCATAAAAATCTCCTCCTCAAGGATGCCGTTAAGGAATGCCGTTACGATGTCCATTTGCTTTACTACCCATCCTTTGATGGCGGCTCCCGCGAATAGGGTTCGCAGCGTCGTCGGCTTCACCACAGGGGCAAACAGCTCCTTGAAGTCCACCTTCTCCTTCTGCTGGTACCCCTTGGCTACAAGCCTAGACTTGTAGCGCTCGATCTTGCCGTCGGCATCCGACTTGATTTTGAAGAGCCACTTGGACGTTATCGCCGTACGCCCCTCCGGTAGCTCCACCAATTCAAACGTGTCATTCTCCTCGATGCTCTTCAGCTCACTCTCCATGGCCTTCTTCCACTCCTCAGCATCACTACTCTCCAAAGCCTCCTTGAGAGTTGCTGGTTCTCCCGGCATCTCCACCGGAGAGAAGAACGCGAAGGCACACTCCTCGTAGTCACTCTCCTCGTCGTCTCCGACCATCATTGCCACTCCGGCCAGGGCTGTCTTGCCCTGCTTTCCCGGCGCATCATAGGTCAGCCTATTAGGGGGTTGAACTCTCCTCTTCCCCCTTCCTTCCTCCTCAGCTGCAGGGACTTGAAGGCCTTGGCGTTGCTGCGGTGTGGCTCGAATCCGTGGAGCACTCGTAGTACGGGAAGGGAGTGACGGTGCACGCTCGCTCACTTGCTGCACCTCCTCCTCTTCTTCCTCTGCATCATTGGTCTCCTCTCCCCCATTCACAAGGGAGGATTGCCTTGTGGTTGTGCTGCTGCTGCTCAGCTCCAAAGGCAGCTCCACATGCTCCAAACCGGAACTCTTCACCTCCCCAAACCGCACGCCTATCTTCGCCTCATTCTCCGCCTTCCAATCCTTGTACATGAAGTTCTCCATGAACTTGCAGTCCCTGCTCACCAAGAACTTCTTGGTGAATGGGTCCCAAAGAAGCCATCCCTTGCTGTTTTGAGCCATGCCCAAGTGCACGGCCCACACCGCCTTGGCACCAAGCTTGTTGTGCCGAAGATGCTTAGGCACGAGCGCCATGCACATGCACCCGAACACCCGAAGCATATCCACCTTTGGCTTCCTTCCTAGCCACTCCACATAGGGCACCCATTTGTCTGCTCCCACATGAGTCAAGGCTCTGTTCTTGGCCACACACGCGCTCCGCACCGCATCAGGCCAGAAATAGTCGGGTAGCCCGGCTTCAATGAGCAACCCGCGTGCCGCCTCCGTGATTGTGCGGTTCGCTCGCTCGGCAATGCCGTTCATTGCAGGGGAGTATGGCATGGTGAGGGAGTGCCGAATACCATTCTTCTTCAGCCACAACCCAAACTCCTTGCTCAGGAACTCTCCCCCTCGATCGGTGCGGATTGACTTGACTAGACGGTCTTGTTGCCGCTCCACCATCGGGAACCAATCCGTCTTCAACGTTTCAGCCACGTCGCTCTTCTTGGCCAGCACGTACACCCAAGTCATGCGGGTGTAGACGTCGACAATGGTGAGAAAATACTCAGCTCCAGCAGTTCCAAGCTTCAGGGGGCCCACCACGTCCATCACCACCTCATCAAGCGGTGCCTTTGCCGTTGCCTCCGAACTAGGGAACGGAAACCGGGTGAACTTGGCTTGAATGCACGTCGGGCAGCCAAGCACCTCATCGGGCTCCCCCTTCACACGTATGCCAGCAACCATCTCATTTTTCACTAGCTGCTGCAAGATGGGCAGGGCCACATGCCCCATGCGCCGATGCAAGGTGAGCCAATCACACTCCCCCGTAGCCGAAGTTGGATTGGAGAATGCCGCGCTCGCAATAGCGCCCCACATACTCTCTCCGTAGTCCTCCTCCGCTGCTGCCTCTGGGTTCTCCTCACCCTTTTGCTGCTCCTTGGTTGCTGCACCACTCTCCTTAGGTTCACTGAACTTGCTGGTCCCTCCAGGTTTGCTCTTCTTGAGCTCATTCTCCTTAGCGCGACCGTTCGCGCCATCGTCGCTACCGACCGCTCCATCCTTGGTGCTGATGCTTGCTGCCACTTGCCTCTCCTTAGGCATAGGGACCACTGGGATCTGCCACATCTCGTTGTAGACATCCCTGTCCTCATGAAGGTCCCAAAGAAT